TAATTTTCGACGTTATAAACCTTTTTCCGAGTTTTAATTATTAATGCACCAGTCATGGCGGTCGCGTCCAGTTGGGATTTTTATACATGTAAGCAATTCCATCTCTTTGTTTGGTTGTCTTCTTGTTAAGCTTCAAACCAACAATACGTTACAGATTAGGGTGTGAAACCGTACTTTTGATTTGGTTTTTAATATTTTAGTTTAGTTTTTTTTTGGTTTGAATGATTTTAAAATCAAATCAAACTAATTTAATTATAAATCAAACCAAATTAAACCTAAAATTTTGATTCAGTTTGGTTTAGTTTAATCTGGTATTAAGTTTAATTTTTTATTAATTAAAAAATATTTAGTAAATTATTTATTTAATTTTTATTAGTAAATATACATGTATATGTATGTATGTGTACATATATATATATTTGTATATACACACACATACATATATGCCATATATATTTATATATTCATGTATATATATATTTATGTAAATATAAAAATATATATATGCGTGTACACGCACAAATATATATAACTACATATATGTATATATAGATATATAAATATATGTACATATGTGTATATATTAATATTTTTTATAAATAATTTTTAAATTTTTAAATTTTGGTTTAAATCAATTTTTCTTAATTTCTTCACTTACAAGTACAACTACAACTACAACGACAATAAATAAGAAGAGAGAAAGAGTTGGAAGAAGAAGAAGAAGAAGAGGCTTTATCTAATGTATCTATATATTTATATACAATATAAATATATGTGCATGTACATATATTTATATTTGTATGAGTATATAAAATTTATATATATATGTATATATGTATGTATCTATATAATTATATATATGTATCTATATATTTATACACACATATATAATATTATGTACATATATATATATATATATTTGTATGTACATACACATTTAAGTATATATATGTATATAGAGATATATAAATATATGTACATGTGTGCATATATTAATATTTTTTACAAAGAATTTTAAAAATTTGGTTTTTGGTTTAAAATGGTTTGGTTTGGTTTTAAACCAAACCAAATCATAATTTTTAATTATTTTTTTAAATCAAACCAAACTAAACTAAAATTTAAAATTTAGTTTGGTTTGGTTAATTGGTTTGGTTTTGCACACCAGTACTACAAATTTTCTAAAAATTTTCTAAAACTAATTAATAGCTTATCTGTATATTTATACACAATATAAATTATGTACATATATATATATATTTGTACGAGTAGATAATATATATATGTATATATGTATGTATGTATGTATGTACATCTATGTGTGTATATGTACATACACATTTAAGTATATATATGTATATAGAGATATGTAAATATATGTATGTGTGTGCATATATTAATATTTTTTACAAAGAATTTAAAAATTTGGTTTTTGGTTTAAAATGGTTTGGTTTGGTTTTAAACCAAACCAAATCATAATTTTTAATTATTTTTCTAAACCAAACCAAACAAAACTAAATTTTAAAGAAACTAAACTAAAATTTAAAATTTAGTTTAGATTTGGTTAATTGGTTTGGTTTTGCGTACCAGTACTACAAATTTTCTAAAAGTTTTCTAAAACTAATTAATAGCTTATCTGTATATTTATACACAATATAAATTATGTACATATATATATATATTTGTACGAGTAGATAATATATATGTATATATGTATGTATGTATGTACATCTATATGTGTGTATGTACATACACATTTAAGTATATATATGTAAATAGAGATATATAAATATATGTACGTATGTGCATATATTAATATTTTTTACAAAAATTTTAAAAATTTGGTTTTTTGTTTAAAATGGTTTGGTTTGGTTTTAAACCAAACCAAATCATAATTTTTAATTATTTTTCTAAACAAAAACCAAACTAAATTTTAAAAAAACCAAACTAAAATTTAAAATTTAGTTTAGTTTGGTTTGGTTAATTGGTTTGGTTTTGTACATCAGCACTACAAATTTTCTAAAAATTTTCTAAAACTAATTAATAGCTTATTTTATTGGTTATGATAAAAAACAATTTATTTATTTTTCATTTCCGGGCTTTAAATAGTAACATATTGCAGCAAAATTATATAAATAATAATAAATTTTTTTAATGAACTACATTTTTAACAAATTATTTATTAAAATAAATTTAAAATTTTGGTATTTAAAAATCAAATTTTTTATCGGTCACCATATGTTTTCAAGTTATACTTCATTTTCCTTTTCCACTTTCTCCTACTAAAATAGGGACTGTTTCAAATGCAATGATCATAAATTATAATTACAATTTTGAAATGTTTTAAATTTTATTTCTTAATTACCTGACAACATACTTAATTTAATTCGTAATTTATTGAATTTATAATTTTTTTCCTACTGTTTTTAGTATAACCACAGCTCTCATATATTGAGATGCGCACTTAATTTAAAATAAATAATAAAAATAAAAAATTATTCCGTAAATACAAAAAAGAATTTTACTCTGCAAAATAAATTTTTTAATGAATAATAGTTTTAATTGAAAAAATGCCTTAACATCAGACTTCACTAATTAATAAAATTAAGCTCAACATCGTACAACTGATAATTAAAGCTAATTGATGGGATGTACTTCAAGGCATAAGTTGATGAACGCTTCCACTATAATTTACAAATAGATTGGAAATTTTTAGAGTTGTAAGACCAAAATGGTCTGGGTAAAAATTATTTTACTCCTAAATTTATTTATCTATTTTATTTATTTTCACAAATTACATAAAATATACTAGTTATCTATTAAATATGAATATCGTCAACTCATTATTATATTTATTTTATGAATTCTTAAATCTTACATATTAAATTTTTAAAATATTATTATTAGAATAGTTAATTGTTAAAAATTTTAAAATTTAAATTAATATATTATAATTGATAATAAATATTATTAAATATATTTAATTTTATATATTAAATTCAAATATTGTTAAATTTTATAAAATTAATTTATAACTTTTGCAAAACCTAACTAAATAATGAATAAATAATTTAAATTTACCATATATTATTCAATTACTGAATATTAAAACCTAAGTTATTTGTATTTTCTATTTATTGTATAATAGTATAGAAAAATTAAATGTTGTCATAAACAGATAGTAATAAATGTTACAATTAGAACATAGTAGATCATAATTAAATAGACTAAATATTTTAATAAATTTTTTAATTGTAATAAAAAATAATATAAATTATTACAACTTTAACAATAAAATCTAAATATTATAATAATTGATCATATATATTCAAAATCTCATTATTCTTTTATTATTTTTTATTTAATTTAATAGTATTTAACAGTAGATTAAAAGTATCATTGAACAAAATAAGAAATTGTGTGGCATATAGTTTAGGAAACAAGTAGAACAAAGAAAGGAAATTCAAGGAGTACCCTAATAAATTTAACTCATCAAATTGATAATAAAAAAATCTTTAAAGAAATAAATGAAATAAATAATTCGTATTTAACTAAAAAAATTATAATAATAACCTGATAGCATGCATTATCATAGGATTTTTTATATTATTTTAATCTTATATTTATATTTTTCACAACATAAGATAGCCTGATTTCGTCATATTTCAATGTCATCTCAGTTGACTGCAGAAATAAAAAAATTTAGTGAAACAACAACACGGAACACCCAGAGGCATTGCTTAGAAGCTGGCAAGACGTGGCAGTTGCATGAAGGAGCAATCTTAAACAGGAAAAGTGGGGGCATTCTCGTAAATAAGGGAGATACGAAGCGCAAATGTCAGAACTTGAAACGAGAGGCGGGAGGCCAGGTGTATGCTATAAAAGGCATCCTGAACGCCGAATCTGAACCACCCAAAGCTCGCTGGCCCCCAAATTTTACTCTCTCTCTCCCTTCTTTGCCATTTTTCAGTCTCGTCTCGTCTCTCTCTCTTCTCCTCCTTTGTAAGCTCACGCGAAAAGTCGGAAAATTATAAACAAAAGAGGAGGAAAGATCCTCCCGTACTAGAGTAAGATCGCAAACCCTAGAAGTTTCTAGAGAGAAGGCGAATTGAGGCAGGGTTTGCAGATCAAAAATATCGACCTTCTGAAGCGTGTACTGCAATACGAAACTTTGATTATTTATATGGTATTTTGACCCTGCAAGGTATGGTATTCAAATTTTTTTGAATTTTTTGGTCGTGATTTGAGCTTACTGTTTAGAATTTGGTTATGGTTTGGGATCCTGTACGAATTTTGGGCGTTGTGGAGGGGCAGAATGGACAAATGTGGATTTTGGTGTCGGACGGGAAGGTTTTAAATATGGATTTGTTTTCGAGGGTGAATGTTCAGATCTGTTTCTGATTCCATTGCATGTTCGAGTTTTGTGAGCATTTTCGATTTTTTGTTGTTTGCTTCTGCCTTTTGTTTTGTGGTGTCATGTTTATCTACCTATTTGTCTCCCGATTCGAGTTTCTTATCAATTTTAAGGCAACTATCTATATATACGTATATATAATTTTGGATGAAGATGAAAAATAATATTTTTAGATATAATTTGAGTTAATATATTTGCTATTTTTCTTCATTAGGCCGAGGTTAGAGTTCGGTCGCTTTCTTCACTTCAATTAGGCGTATGTTTATTTTCTTTCAATTGGGTACTAGATTTTGAAACATCTAGATGTCCAGAATTTTGATTTGTTTATCACAGCTCTATGTTTTCTCAGCAAACAGGCTGAACAACGCTTTAATAAAGTTAGGTACACCTTTATTGTTGCTAGTTTCATCCTCCAAGAAAAAAGCCTAAGGTCATTTTTTGGTGTTTTTTACCTCCCTTTTTTCCCTTCTCTCATTCTTTTCCCTCCCCTGGAAAAATGTCTTATTTTAGAGCTCTTTTGTCAAAGTTGAATGAGCCCGACGTAGCGAAAAACTTTGGCTGCATGAATTTTAATATCAATTATTCTAAGACGATAAGCTTTGATGCTATGCAAGAAGCAGCATGTCGCCAATATTACATTATCAATCAAGTTCCACAATTTGTGCCATCTGTCAGCAAATCTCACTTTCTCAGTGTGTATGCCTAAGATTGCTTTTAGCCAGTGATGAAATTGGTTTGATTCAGTGATAGGTTGTGACAATGGTTGCCACCGCTGCTACATCTGCGTTCCATCCAGTTGCATCTCCACAATCTGACTCTGGTGCCAAGACATCCGGCAAGCTTGGAGGAGTGCCAGCAAATGTGGATGCTCGAGGGATTAAGTCAAAATCTGCTGCTGCTAGAGGTTGTCAGGTTAAGGCCAATGCACAGGCCCCTCCAAAAGTAAATGGCACTAAAGTCGGGGTCATGGAAGGTCTCAAGAATGAGGATGACGTGGCATCACCTCCGCCAAGAACTTTTATCAACCAATTGCCTGACTGGAGCATGCTCCTTGCTGCTATCACTACGATTTTTTCTGGCAGCAGAGAAGCAATGGATGATGCTTGATTGGAAGCCAAAGCGTCCAGATGCACTTATTGATCCATTTGGTTTGGGAAAAATTGTCCAGGATGGTCTTGTTTTTCGCCAAAACTTTTCTATCAGATCATATGAAATTGGGGCTGATCGGACTGCCTCTATAGAAACACTGATGAATCATTTGCAGGTATGATTAAACTTTCATCTGAGCATAATATTATTGAATATACACTAGGCATGTACAATTTAATACCAATTTTATCAAAATATCTAGCTTGGTTTAGCTCTTGATGATCTTAAGCTCATTTTTGCAGGAAACTGCCCTTAATCATGTGAAAACTGCTGGACTACTGGATGGTGGCTTTGGTTCAACTCCAGAGATGTGCAAAAAGAATCTGATATGGGTTGTCACTAAAATGCAGCTTCTGGTAGATCGGTATCCTACTTGGTGAGTTATAAATATTTAGTGAGTTATTAGTTATATATCTATGTGTATATTGTCACTTTGCTACATTTATGATGAATAGTGGCTTGTTAGTGGCTATGATGGCTGTATTATGTTGACATTCTTATGGCATTTTGACCCATAATTCTTGAATAGTAGGTATACAGTACATGTCTTCTTGACCTGTCAAATTTTGGAGGCTTACTATGATATAATTCCTAGATGACTTGACATTTAATGATGGTTGTTTTTATTTAAAATATAATATATTAAGTTTGAGGGCTATTCCTTTGGTAACAAACTTGAACACAAGGCTGAAAAGTTTTCCAATGCTAATGTGTTTCTCTGTTGTGGCATTGTTGTAATCATGACTGCAAGCTTCAAGATTAAGTGTCTGTTATATTTGATCTAAGCTAGGTTCCTTTCCCCTCCATATTACTCCATTTGAATGCTGGTTGCAAGAGTATAGAGAAGACCAGGAAAACTGTTGTTTTTTCTTCCTCAATTACACTTGTACCCAACCACAGAAAGAAAAAAAAAAACTTCGTGCACGGAATAGGTGTAGCATTGAATACATATCTGTATATGTGTGTGTATCCAATTGTTCCCTATTCATTAAAAGTCAATTTATCTATTGAAGCTGAAGTTGATGCATTAGCTGCCACAAAAGTATTATTTTCATTAAGAATCAATTTTTTATTGCATATTGCCTTTGAAGATTTCATTATGGCAATAATGTCCTGAAAAATGTTCTTGAGCTGAAATGGACATGGTCCATCAGTTGGCCTCTGATTGCCCTAGATTTGTAACTCAATTGACTAGATGTGAAACCATAGTGCCAGAGGAGCCCTCACAATCACTGAATTATACCTTATTAATAGTGGTTATGAATGATGTTTCATTATTTGATAGCTCTAATGTCCTGTTGATAACTGATTCTTTATTGCCTGTTATCTGCAAGGATGGCGTTCTTTGGTCAGGTATATGCAGTTTGGATTCCCTATTATTAAATTAGGATTCTAATTTGGACTTAAAGTCCCCCGATTTTACCTATCTCTTAACAAAAAAGCACTTTTTTAAGTTAAAAAAAGTACTTCTGGAATATTTTGAAGTGCTTGGTAAGTTTTAAAAAAAAGTTCTTTTTCCCAAGAAAAATAAGATTTTTGATTATTTTCAAAATTAGTATGGTGTAGTTTCTGAAAAAAAAATCATTTTTGAAAAAATCACTTTTGAAAAAGCACTTTCAATAAAATCTTATCCAATAGTACCTATATTTCATGTAAAAAATCTTATTTGTATATGGGTCTCTTGATGATGCAGTCTTCCTTTCTGTTTTGGCCTCTAAGATTCTAAATTTGGGACTCAATTTATGTGGGCATTGTATATTTGGGCAAATCTATAGGTTCACTGCTTATCTACTATTTAGTGGTTTTGCGAATCATAGTAGTGTAGTAGTGATGTCATAATGAAAAATGGGTTAATTGTTTCACTTCTCATTTTGTGCCCCAAACTAATATACTTATTTATAGAATATAGTAAGGTTTCTATTTTGCACCTTATATATTGGAAACATTCTACTAAGGTTTTTGTTTAGCATGTATCATCATTTTTGAGTAAATTGAATTGCTTTACTTGAGAGGCGCCTGCAAATTTTACTGATGGGAGCCAGCATGGACATTGCAAAATGGGGATGGGGACGGCTTTGGGATTTTTACAAGGATTTATCCAAGGACGGGGATGGGGAACCTAGTACCCAACCTTCCCCATACCTGGTGTAATATATATATATATATATATATATATAGGAGGGATCAATTGACACCGAGTGTAAGTGTAAAAGACTTACATCAAATTTTACATCGTTGATTTGGTCAAGATCAACGGATGAGATTAATTAACTGCTAATTAATTATTAGAAGTTATTGGAAGACAGTTGTAATTAATCTCATCCGTTGATTTTGACCAAATCAACGGTATAAGATTTGGTGTAAGTTTTTTACATTTACACTGATGTCAATTGATCCCTTCTCACACACACACACACACACATAATATTTATATTTTATATATATTTATGTTAAAAATTATATTTAAGTGATTGATTGTTAGTTTAGTTTGTCAAATAATGACGGTTATATTTGGTTTTTTTAAAAAATATTGGAATGTAATTTGAATATTTCTGTTATTTTTGTGAATTATGGACTATTTTATCTCATCATTTTTTAAAATGGATTGTGTTCAAATAAGTATATAGGTACAGGGATGGTACAATACTCTTCAACGGAGGCTGGGTAAGGATTAAAATTATTCACCAGCTGGGGATGAGGACGGGTATGGGAATGGATTTCTTAAGTTGGGATGGCAATGGATACATTGAGTACCCACCCTGGGGATGAGTAAGGATTAAAATTAATCAACAGCTCAGGATGAGGAGGGGTATGGGAAAGGATTTCTTAAGTTGGGATGGGTATGGATACATTTAGTACCCTCCCTGTTGCCATGCCACCAGATATTGAAATTCCTGATGCTTTAAAGTTCAAAATAGACCATTCTGATATTTTCTCATCAATAATGACAAGTCCAAAAAAGAAGCCTGGAAGCGTTACTAAGTGGATACTATATGCTGTTCCTGTTCATTTTTTTAAAGTGAATTGTGTTCAAATGATTATATAGGTATGGGGATGGGTACAATACTATTCAACGGAGACCAGGTAAGGATTAAAATTATTCACCAGCTGGGGATGAGGACGGGTATGGGAATGGATTTCTTAAGTTGGGATGGGGATAGATACATTGAGTACCCACCCTGGTCTTTGTCAGGCTTAAGCTAAAAGGCATGAGAGAAAGAAAGTTCTTGTTTCCTTGCTTATCGATGGGAATCACTGGCTGGGGATGAGGACGGGTGTGGGAACATATTTCTTAAGTTGGGATGGGTATGGATACATTTAGTACCCTCCCTGTTGCCATGCCACTGGATATTGAAATTCCTGATGCTTTAAAGTTCAAAATATACCATTCTGATAATTTCTCATCAACAATGACGAGTCCAAAAAAGAAGCCTGGAAGCATTACTAAGTGGATACTTTGTACTGTTCCTGTTGGACCATGCCTTATATGATATATATGTATTCTTTAAGCATATTAGATTTCAAGTTGCTTTCTTTTGTTTTAAACAATACTGTAAACTTACAGTTGCATAAAAATGTCCTTTTTATGTCTTATTGTGGTTCTGTATTTTTTGGGTAGCATTGAATGCAAATGTTGTTCGGTTCTATGGAAGCATCATAATTATCACCATAAAAAATATCATCACTGTCTTATTGAAATCTTGAAGCCGTCTGAAGAAAATCTAATTGGATTGCTAATGAATATAACTTGTCTCATTGGTTTGATTGAATGTCTGCAGCAGCCCATATGTTGACGCATAATGGCATATTACTTTGTAACTGTTTGGTAATTTATGAACACATGGTTATGGTCATGTCCATAAAATAACTACTTTCCATAAGTTTTTTGAATTTCTAATTTTATGAGATTTTAGATGATGACAATGTCTTCATTGATGAAAGCATTGCTTTAACAGACATCATCTCCTCAAGCACTGAATTCTTGTCTTATATTTTGAAATTGTTTGGTTAACGGTTGGGCTAACTACTTTCCATAAGTTTTTTGAATTTATAATTTTATGAGATTTTAGATGATGACAATTTCTTCGATGATGAAAGCATTGCTTTAACAGACATCATCTCCTCAATTACTGAATTCTTGTCTTTTATTTTAAAATTGTTTGGTTAACGGTTGGGCTTTGTTATTCTTTCAGGGGTGATGTTGTGCAAGTAGACACTTGGGTAGCTGCATCGGGAAAGAATGGCATGCGGCGTGATTGGCTTGTTCGTGACTCTAAAACAGGGGACACTCTAACTAGAGCATCCAGGTGGGAACTTGTTTTCCCTTCTTAATTCTGATGACACTTTTATCATATGCTAAATTTTGCAGCACTCATCAGATATTTGGTTTCCTTCGCAATATCAAAGAACAGCACCTGCATTAGAATGTGCAGAATTTAACTTTTGTTCTTTTACAGATAAAACTACAAGATTTTGTTTATTTAATTGAATCTAATAATAAATTTTGCATTAAGCAACAACACATATGAGCCATGCTTAGTTGTTTGAAAGCTTTGTATGAGGTTTCTCTTTTAGGATTAGGAAAGATATGATTGATGATACATCTGGTCATTCACTTTTGAACTGTGAGCAGTTATTTATGTTGTGATTGATTTGAATGAATTGTTGAAAACTATGTTAACCAGACTCTGGGTCATTTTGATACTTTTGACTGACTAGTTATTCTATTCCACATGTACTAAAATGTACTATAGTAACTGTATAGTTGGAAGACTTCTGAGGGTTAAAATTTTACAATGTAAATTACTTTAAGGGAAATTTTCTTTGATAACTATTGGCTATTAAATCTATGTACATTTCATTCAAATTAATTTTCTAATAACATTATTGTAGCCTGTTGCACTGTTGGAGCATTTTGGTTCCTAATATTTTATCCTTCAAAAACTCCTTTTTCTTTAGTTTTGTAGATCATCACATATTTTTGACAGGCAAGGTGATCTATAACTGTAAGGAAATAGATAGGGAAAAAGCTCCTGGATCATGTTAGATTGATAAAGTTGCCCTTTGGGAATGGAAATGTACCATATTTTGGAATGGTCATTCCTATTAATAACTTGCTACCAGATTTATCTTTTTCTAGTACGAGTAATTTGGACTGAGTAGGATTAGCCTTTGGTTTGGCATATGGCAGCATTTGGGTGATGATGAATAAAGAGACGCGGAGGTTATCTAAGATTCCTGATGAAGTTCGTGGAGAAATAGGTTCATATTTTGTGGATTCACCTCCTATTGTGGATGAAGACAGCAGAAAATTACCAAAACTTGATGAAAGCACTGCAGATGTTGTTCGTAGTGGCTTAACAGTAAGTTGAAGGCCATCTTATGATGAAGACTGTTTATCTTTGAAATGTATCTTATTGCCATTTTGCTGCTTATGTGTTTTTTTTTTTTTTTTTTTTTTTTTTTTTTTTTTTAATAAAATGTTTATGTTGATCAGCCTAGGTGGAGTGATTTAGATGTTAATCAGCATGTCAACAATGTGAAATATGTTGGGTGGATTCTTGAGGTAAATTTCTCTTTCTTCTATTTATGTTTGATTCCTTAGTGCTTTGATTCTCTTACCTGTCTTACAAAATGTCATCTATGATCACTGGTCGAGTGCTCAGTTTAACCAGAACTCACCTAGATCAGTTTGATCAAGAAATGATTCAAACTAAAGCCTTAGGCCTCGTGATTTAGTGTACTATCTTGCTGTGAACCTACATAATGCTAGCTCCTGAACTAGGATTTTTACTCTGTTTCTGTCTCTGTCTCTCTGTTAGTGGCACATTTGAGAGTTCACTTAAAGTTCTCATTTTCACAAGTTTATAGAAGGATGTACACCGAATGTACTGATCACTGGCTTGACAGCTTGGCTGTCAAATGGAATTCTGTATTTTTCATAAATCTTTCTGAAGTTCTCTTCTCACTTATTATCTTCATGTTGCTTCTTGTAGAGTGCACCACTGCCAATTTTGGAGAGTTACGAGCTTTCTGGCATGACTCTGGAGTACAGGAGAGAATGCGGTCGGGACAGTGTGCTGCAGTCCCTGACTGCTGTATCTGGAGGTAATGTTGGTGGTTTGGTTAATCCCGGCTATGTAGAGTGCCAGCATTTGCTTCGGCATGAGAGTGGAGCTGAGATTGTGAAGGCAAGAACTGAATGGAGGCCCAAATTTGCCAAAAGTATTGGGAGTGTCAATCAGCTTCCCGAAGCAGAAAGTGCTTAAATTGTTGAAGTTCTTCATGGCTGTCTGCAGTAGCAGTAGCCCTATCCTTTGTGTCACAATGCTTGTAAAATCCTACATGAGTTCCTGGATTTTCACATATGTTTTTTTTCCCTTTTCTCTCTCCTTTTTTTGCCTATATATATATATATATATATATATGCCTTCTGATCTATGTTCTTATTGGGAGAATAGAGAAAAAGGTCCAAAAGCCCTTTTGTAAGTAGATATTGCTGTTCCCATGCTCTCTGTCCAACTCTCTCTCTCTCACTCATCATTTGCCCGTTCAAATTGGCAACTTATATTCATTTCATCTTGTTGTGGTTCGCAATTCTTTATTATTTGTAATGAAAAATGTTTTAGGTGGAGCATGTAATCCAACTAACTGTCGCGTTTTGTGCTGGCAAAGTCATGTTTAGAGTTGTCTTTACAGTTGTTTGACAGGCATAGAAAATTGGGCACTGGTGTGGTAGATGAGTGGATATATGGACTTCTGTGCAACCTATTTTGATATATATTCATTATCCCTTGAATTTTGGGGCAGAGCTGGCTCTTTAAGTTTATTTATTTATTTTTATTATTATTATTATTATTTTTTGGGGGGGGGGGGGGGGGGGGTGGGGATGGGGGTTCTGCTAGTTTACTGGTGAAGATAGGCTTGCTAATTGTACTGAAATTGAATCTTATCAAGCCTCCGTTGCGGAATGGGATAATGGAAGATAGTGTATTGTTTTACTCCCAGCTCATTTTCTGCTATTAAGATTTATAATCTGTGATGTTACTACTTTTTGATGATGTCTCTTTCATTTCTCATTTTGCACTGATGATAGCCATCAAAAGCAAGTATTCTTAGGATGTTGTGGCTTTTGAACTCCTAAATAAGAAACACTACATGAGAAGTTACGGTTTCTTAATTTTGGTTGAAGAGCTTATAAAGACAATCAAATTGACCTACTTGCCTGTCTCTTGTTGGATTAAATTTTTTAGCACTAAGTTTGATTTGGTAGGACCTAAATGGAACGGTAATATTTAGCTTAAAAGTTTCTAAAACGTAGGGTTAATTTTATTTATGAGTTTCTACGCACACACACCCACACAAGAACTCACCCTAATGTCGTCTTCAAGCAACGTAGCCATAGTGTTTTCAATTTTGGGCATTCGACACGTTCACCATCCTTGGTTTACTCCAAGCCGGTTTTGGTTTCCTCAGCAGGGTTTTCTGCTTTGGGAAAGTGTAATTTCTGCCACTTCCATCAAGATCCAAGTCCATGGACCTTCAATAGTATTTTATAGCCGAGAGGCACAACTCCGGAAGGTGCAAAAAAAGTCGATAGCTTGTAATGTGGTCCGACGCATGTACTTGGAATGTATAGGAGACTTCCCTTTAGTTAATATTGTCTAGTTAATCCTGGACAAAAAGGAAAATTTAAAAGGACTTCTTATGAAATAAATTATAAAACAGGATAATAACAAAAACAATAGCAGGAAGACTCTGTTGAGCTGTTTAAAGTTGAAGTCATATAATTTAATTAGGATAATTGTATAAATTAGTAGAAATAGAAAACACTATCGGGCATTTATTGGTTTGCATAATGTTTTTACTAAATTACATGATAAATTTTTTATAATATTTGGTCATGCTTTGTAATTATGTCTATCAATGTCCTAAATTTCCAGGCGGTATTTTTTTTTGGAATTCTTTTCTAATAAAGTTGTGAACGATTTGTCCTGTATTAGTGAGGATAATCAAAAACATTAATGCAAAGAGTCAAAGACCATGTTCCCAGTTGGCAGTGACGGTTATAAACAAGGAGGAAGCACATGGTTCAAGCTCCGGATCCATCACAAAGCTTCACATGATTAGGTTCTAATCACTACTAGTCTCGTCAACCTCTGCACATGCTAATTGGATTTTATAATCAACTGGGTAATCCAACTGGGTCTTATCCAGTTCAGTTCAGATAGGATAAAGAGGTATTGAAGTCCAGTTCGTGCATGTAAAAATCAACTATAGATTTGCTTGAGGACAATATTTTCATCAGTCGATGGTTCTTTTTTCTCCACCCCCACAACCAATAGTTCGTGTGCTGCATTTCCCCATTTTAGAGGGTTGAGAGTTTTCACCATAGTTTAGATAACATGATTTTGATTGTTTATTTACATAGAGTGATTTAATTAAAATTAAACCCTATTGACCCCCCAACCAAAGAAATTGATTTACAAACTAATCAAACTGTTTTATTTTTGTTTACATATTTTATTTTAACCTTCGAAAGAAGAGGATGATTGCCTCCACGTAATAACAGTGAAAGTGGGATCCAGGGAAGAAAAGCATAAAAGAAGGAAGGATGTAAAATCATTAATAACCTTGGGGTTTGGGTCTAGAAACATAAATGGAGAAATGCTTGTTTTCATTTGCGTTAATATTTAACAAAATTGTGCAGTGTTAATTCATGAATGTTGGCGTGGAGAGTGGAGTCAAAGTGATTTCCACCAAGACACAGAGATTTGGAAATACGAGGAATTGTCTCTCTCCAATTTCCACTTTCAGACTTCGGAGGAATAAAACCATTCAATCAGCACGTGACCTGTTGTTATTCCATGAATCCAAACCTAATTGCATCATCATCATCGTACAAAATTAAAAAAAATAAAACAAAATGAAGGTAAGCGCACTTTATTTTAATTATTTTTTGATATTTGTGAAAATAGAGGTAAAAAAAGAGCTATATGAGTATAGTTCAAGTTCCGGTTCTGGGATTGAAGGAAGTATTCACAAATATTGTTAAAAAAATATAATTTATTTTTGTTAAAAATAAAATTGAAATAAATATTTTTAAATCTTATATTTAAAGTGAGAGATTAGGATAATTATCTACCTATGTACATAAAAAAATTTATTTTACTCGTATATATATTTGTAAATATGAATGTGATATATATATTTATTAAGAGAAATTTAAATATTATAAAATTGTAATTATTATTTTTGATAAATAAAATTAATTATATCAAATTATGTAAATTTTTTAGTCTGTGCGGTATCTCCTTTTTATATCCCTAATAGAATTAAATTTTTAGCCTCTAACAGGAAGGGGTTGACCCGAATTGATCAAAGTAATTTGGTTTTTGAAAAGGAAAATAAGATATACTTTTTATGTTGTTGATCAAGATGCTTATCTTGTAATTTTTAGTTTCGGCCTCAGTTGACTCAGTTGGAGAGATGAGTTAAGAATTGATGATTGAAAGTTTAGATTGGTGTATTATTTTAACTACAACTCCAACGAGTAAGAGTTGGATAATGCCAAAATTTTTCTTATTCCTTTTTTTTTTTCAAATATTTCTGGATAGAGTTTTCGTTTGCTAGAGAGAAGAAAGAAAATGAACATTGCTTAACCGGTAAAGCAAGTGCATGATGACCAAAATACCCCCCGAAAGTAACAGGTCAGTAGTATCTGTGTGCTGCCGCTACGGCCAACGGCCACTGGTTTCCCGGTGCCGGAAGAGAGGAGTGTTTGAATGGAGGCAAGGCAGCAAAGTAAGCACACACACACTTGACAAATAAGAAAGAGACATAAAATGGGATATTGGCACTTCTTCCCAACCAAACTGGAATTTGGAATTTAAATTCTCCATGTCCAATTTTATGGGCGAGGTTTATGTTTAATTTTTTTAATAGGGTAAAAAAAATTTAATCTCAGTTGAAAAGAGTAAAAAACTCTTGGCCAATATTTTAGTAATTGCAAAAGTACCAACATAAATAAAAATGGGAGGTGTCTTTTTTTCTTTTTCTAAAGTTTATTTGTATGGAAAGGAGGGGTATTGAAATCCTATAGTCAAAGAGAGCAAAAAAGTGAAAAAAATTGGGACCTACTTGTCACTCTTGAAAGAAATGGGGGGACTTAAGGTATGATTTAGGATGTCTAAACACCAGGTAACAAGTGTTAGGTTAAAAGCAAAAGCTTTGCATGCTTTAGCAAAGGACAATTTGGTCCTCCAAAAAAGCACCAAAAAGTCACATTATCAAGTATATTTGAGAGCAAGTTCTTGCTTTGCTTGGCACTCAGTCACCACCTCCCTTGGGATATGCTTGTCTTAAAAATTTTAAGTTCATCTTCTTGTCGGCTTTTGAAATTTTTAATGCTCAATTACAAAACATTAGTTAAATTAAACTAAAAATTTCATTCTTCATGACTTGTAACAAAGTTAAATAAAAAATACAGGTCTTTTCTATAATGCCAAACAAGCCTTTATTTGAATGGATGTTACTGCTATGGTAAAACAATTTTACTAAAGTCCTTTCTTTCTTTCCTTTATAAGAGGAAAAATTTAGTGTTTATTAATTTATTCTATTGTTTATAAGGGAGTTCTAATTGGCCATTGAAAAGCGTCCATATCTAATCCTGGATATAGTTATCCCATTTAGGGTCGATGTATGGTTCAGTTAAACTAAATTAATTTTGTGTGTTTCAAAAAATATTTTTTTTAATTGGTTTTTGGTGAACTTAGGTAAATTTTTACATCCTTCCTATTTATAGAATTCCACAAACTTAAAATTCCAATAATTTGTGTCTTCACAAAAAAATATAGATTAATTTTATTTTTACAATATTTCAATACAAAATTAACATATTCCCAAATCTATATAAATGGTCGTATGATTATATTACCAATTACGACCCAGTTAAAAGTTAATTTAATTTATTAAATAATTTTTTTACATTTTCTTTACCAAGCAAATTCTAATTTAAGCTAACTTTGATTAATAGTTCAAATATTATTTTCATTCTCACAAAAAAAAAAAAGAAAATCTAACCATTAATAAGAAAAGTAAAACATTAGATTAGACTAACATTCAAGGTACTTGAGATAAGGCTATGTAAAAATCTATCATGCAAACCCCTTTTTCTGTAAATTAACATTTGATTTAAATCATATGTTACAAGATAAACAAAATAAACAATTTAGGTATAAGATAGAAAGTTGAAACATAAAAATATATATTTTTATTCTATAAATAAAGGATTTAATTGATGAAATAATATTATTATTTATTTTAAGCGATACAATAATACCTGCTTATTTATTTTAGCAATAAACATACAATCATCCCACAGAGTATATAGTTTAGATTTACTACAATGAATCGAAGTTACAAAATGTTGAAATCAACATACTCCAACCTCCACTCTATTCAACATACATTCTCTTGTATTAGTATATTGTAATTATAAAAGAATTATTCTTTTTTTTTTTTCTTTCTAAAAGTTCATCTTTTTAAATGTTCAAAAAATTAAAATTTTTAGAGAGAAATATGCAATTAAGTTGGAAACTCTCATCTCAATATAGTGTCTTCATTTCAAGATAGATGTAAGTAATTAATCCATAATCAGATAATATATAATCCTATTCCACTTGAAAACCTTAGCAGGTTCATGTTGTAGCACTAAACTCTCTAAGATAAGTTTGCATTGCAGTGAAAAATTATAAATTTATCTTTTCATTTTAAGCAATTTTTACTATTTGTTTTATGATAAGCGAGTTTATAAAAGATTTAAATCATTTATATTTCATGATAATATAAATAATAAATGTTTTCATCTTTAAATTCTTACTATTCATATATATTTATCATTCCTAAAATCTTAAGAATTTATTAGTTTTTGAAAATATTTTATATTTCTAAAACAGGTTTATGACCATCAATTTAAGCCTTTTTCAATGCTCTAATTTGAAATTTTTAAAAATTTAATTGCTAATTCTTTTTGAAACGAAAAAAATTTAAATATTAATTCCTTTTAATAAAAATAGTTTTGCATACCACGTAGGAAGATCATTCTTGCCCCCTGTCGCAGGTTCACACGAGTGCCGGGTGCACTGTACCGACCAAGGCCCAAATTCCGATGCTGCTCCCATCCTGTACATGAATTCTAACGACATTGTGGGCGCCTTCCACGTGTCATGTCGTTACGGGCTCCTACACCCGTTGCTTGCCACATTATATACCCCACCACGAACACCCAACGCAGAAACAAACGACCTATTCACTCTTCCCTGAAAGTTTGAATAATCTCCGTCAAACCAAATGCCACCCGACTACTTCACGGAGCCGCTGCCGGAATCACAAACCGCCAGCGTGAACTTCAACGACACTGAGCTGACCCTGCGCTTGCCTGGCGAGCCTCGCCCTCCGAAGCTTGGCCGCTCCAACACGATTGATCTCAACCGCCGGCGAGGGGGTGCGGAGTTGGAATCTGAGAGCTCGAGTACCAGAGCTCCACCGTCGGCTAAGTAAGTTTTTTTTTTTTAAGTATTATTTTCTTATTGTTAAGAGGCACTTAGTTGGGAAAATACGACTTAATTAGCTCACTGATATATCCTAGAAGAGCGGGATTTTTTTTTAAAAAATTTTAAATAATTAAAATTTCCCGTAAAAAAAAATAGTCTTAAAAATTTTTACTGTTAATTTATATAAGGTAAACTCAAAAACTTATTTACGGGGCTTTTGAAAAATCCCTGAAACAAAATAGGATTTTTCCAAAAGTAAATAAGTTATGGTGGTGGGCTTTACACAAGCACGTATGTCCTCGGGTAATTTGTTAATTTGTGAAAATATTGGGGTATTTTTGGTATATTATTATTTTAATATTAAAAAACTCTTTGTTAAAAAAAGTTTCATTGAGCAATTGGCTTGCTGAAAGGTTGAGCATTTGGTAATTTTCATTCCCTTGTAAGTAAAGATTAAATGAATGTTATATATATATGGTTTTGTGGCGGCGCCAATGCAGAGCAGATGTAGCAGGGTGGCCGCCGGTGAGGTCTTACCGGAAGAAGGCTCTGGGGAGCCGTAGGTACGTGAAGGTGGCCATAGACGGAGCTCCCTATCTTCGGAAGGTAGACCTCGAGGCTTATGGTAATTACCAAGAGCTCCTGAGGGCACTCGAGGAAATGTCGACTTGCTTTTTCAATCACGGTAAAGTCTGTTTCTTTTCTTGTCAATCACATGCTTTTTCAACCATTTGTCTTCCTTTCAGAAACTGTATCTTTGATGACAAAGAAAACGCAAATTGCTGTCGAAAATGTTATCAGAAATAAATTTTTTATTATTTTTAGAATTTTTCGAAAAACACTTTGAATCGAAAATGAAAATAGAGCGTTTAAAGTTTTTATTATTTTTTGTTTTTAAAAATTATTGTGAAATTAGAGAAGATAATGAGCTCTATTAAAAAAGTTGAACTCTTGACTATGTTTTCTTTTTACTTCCTTTCTCTCAATAAATGGGAATCTCAAACAGGGCATTAAGTGGGTCTTTCCTTCCTTTATTATTTAAATATTTGAGGAGGAATTAGACATTTTTTTTAATTAATTAGCTAAGAAAATATGAGAAAATATATAGAGAGAGAGAGAGAGAGTACCAATGAGATACTAATAAAATGAAGATAATGAGGTATTACATGATAGATTAAACTAACTAATCAATTAATTGGATGATGGTGGTTCAGTTTACTCAGATGGGGAAAGCAAGCCTGAGGATTTGAGGAAGGACACAGAATATCTGCCTACATATGAAGACAAGGACGGTGATTGGATGTTAGTTGGAGATGTTCCTTGGAAGTAAGTTTTTTTTTTTTTTAATTGAGAAAAAAATTGATTTAAATTTAAATTTTAATTATATTATTATAAAATGTTTTTCAGACATCATACCCTTTTTTGGAAACATAGAAAATCAAAAACACTCCACAAAAGGGTCCAAGCATCAAGCCATGGCTATATTTCCTTTTTTTGTCTTTTTGGAAGGGGAGGGAAGAGAGATTTGAATGTGGGTTATGAACTTGGATATATAAAGTCCTTTCTGGTGAATTTGGTAAAGAAGAAGAAGAATAAAGGGTTTGGTTGGGAATGGAAAAATTCTAAAGAACATTTCAGTAATAATAAGTATTTATTATTTCAAATATTCCACAAATTCCCCTTGACTTAATTTATTTTCTCTTAAATTACACTGCAGGATGTTCAAAGATTCATGCCAACGAATTCGAGTGATGAGAAGTTCAGGGTCCCCTCAAATAGACAGTTAAATCAGGTTAACTTCAATTTTCAAAACCATTCTATGTGATTTTCTATTCATTTATTTGTACATTATTTAATTTCATGTTTGTTTGCACTTTGCAGCTCAAGAATTTCCTTGAAGTGGACGCGAGAGAGAGAGAGAGAGAGAGAGAAAGAGGGAGGGAGATTTCTCTTTTATTTTTTTTAAGTTTTTGGAGATGAGGGGAGAGAGAGAGGTTCAGTCAGATTAAATAAATGAAGAAAGCAGGCAGTACAGAAAGCTGTCCCCTCTTTTTCCTCCTTTCGTGGGTAAAATGCAGAATGGGAAATAAAAGAGAGTGAGACGCGAGTTCATCTGTAGCTTCTTTTTTTTTTTCTTTTCTTTTATTTTTGGGGATTAAATTGGAGGACTGTTTCAATATCCATATCCTCCACCTGCTTAATTTTCACACGTTTGTTTTGTAAAAATATTTTTTTTCTCGAGAAATACTTAAAAAATATTTCATTGCCATTTTGGTAGCTTAACAAAAGGGGGAAAAATTAGCCCCACTTTTCTTCTTAAAGAGAAAAAATAAGAAGTTAAATTATAAAAAAAATTTATTGAAGTTTTATAAAAATGTTAATTTAGAATTATTAAAAACTTATAATTCAAACTTTTAAATACAAAAATTCCATAAACTATGGGATGGCAAACAAACAACCCTTCCTCTCTCTTATAAATGTTAATGCCTGTAATAGCTCTCTCTCTCGATCTCGATGTGATATTATGAAATTGGAAGCCATTCTCTTCATATGGGTCATTCTCAATTAGTCTAAGATACACTAAGCAACCTAAAAAAAATGACATTTGGGTTTGATTCAATTGAAAAAGATAGAAGAAAGGGAATAAAAAGGAATTAAAACAAAGGATGTTGTATTTTCTGTGGGAAAAAAGAAAATAAGAGGATGTATTGGGGTTTACACCATAAAATTTTTGAAACTTTTTTCTTATAATAAAAGACTAAACTCTTCTTTGTTTCTTGAAATGGGAAAAAGTGAGTATAACTCAAACCCAGCTACGCAAGGGTTTGTTTGGCTAGCAGGCAGGCTGGTTTTTTTCTGAATTTTGTTTGCAATTATCAATTTTGGGCAGCTTTGAAAACCAATTCACATAAACTAACCTATCATATAACCCATCAACCAGGTAAGCAAATAGAAAGTTGGAAGTGTGCTTCAAGGTTCAGATTCCATTGCCTGTAAGAGAAGCCAACCAGTTTCCTTTGCTTTCTTTCTTTACTAAGAAATTTTTTTTAACTTAATCTCAAAGCAGGAACCGTGGTGGTTGTTTTCAACTTTTCATTTTCTTATTACCCAGAAAAGATTACTCCAAGCTCAAAAGTAAAAAGCTTTTGAGAAGGTGAAACTTGAATAGGCTTGATTTGAAATTAACAAGCCCCCACTCTCCCCAGCTGGCCTCTCACGGTCCAATAAGTCTTAAAACTAAAGTCCTGTTTGGTTGAGAAGAATCGAAATAAAGAAATAAAAGTACATGACACGAGTCAGTAGCGATGTGTAAGCTTAGTTTGTCTTCTCCTTGTCATGATCCTTGCTCAATTATTTGTATGAGCATGTGAGCAAAAAGAAGAAAACTTTATATTAAGACAAATTAATTAGCGTGTAAACCCACAAATTTCTTACTCATCTCCTCATCACGTCTCACCTTAAATTTATTTCAACCGTTTGTCCCCTCCCCCCCCACCCCCCCAAAAAAAAAGAAATATAGAACTTTGTGATGGACATTTAAAAATTTGTTAAAACAAAATTTTAATCTTTTAGCAGTTAATTTGTTTAAACAAAATATCCATACTAATAAATTTAGATTTTTTCAAAATTCTAAAACAAAACATAATTTTTCGAACCAAACATCTGATACAGACCTATTTGAACGTATCAAAGTTGGAAAGGTAAAAAAGAAAAACAAAATATACAAAGGAATATGTCTTCAACAGCTCCTCATTATCCTATTTTTTTCTCATTTAAAATTAAAGATTGTTATTATTTAATACCAAAAATATCTTGTATTTTTGAAAAATGACGACGGTAAGATTCCTATAATCCCAACCTTATCCCCAATCCGCGTGGCAGGAGCCCACGTCACAGTTGCTTACAGGAAAATGCACCCCGAAATTATATGTCTGGCGTCAAATCATTATGACAAGTTTATTAATTTCAGGGGTATCCCATCTGAGAAAAACATAGAATTAAACTAAAAAAAAGAGTAATTTTCCGAAAGAAAATAGTACGGAATGAGTGATCAATAAGAATGGAAAACTACCACCGTCTAGAGAGTAGATGCCTCCTCCAATGTTGCACGTCAATCGAGGACTATAAGCTCTAGCTCTTGTTGATCAGTGATGGGGGTAGGCGAAAAAGTTCACTCGGAACAAACAAAAGAGGAAGAACAACCTTCATGTATCTACCACAGTCGAGGATTAGAAGAAAAAATACTGATATGTACTCTTCCATTCGGAGCCTACGTATAAACTCGTCTCTGATACCCACAAAATTCATCATTACACCTTCGATTTAAAGCAAATATCATAATTGAAGGCTGCCAAATCCCACTCATTTCTCCATCCCTGTAATAGTTCCTTCGTTAAAAAACAATCTTCGTCCACTCTCAGCCCCAGAAGACCCACAAGACCCAGGTATCTCTCTCTCCCTCTTAGTCTTGTTGGTGGCAAATCTGGAAGAGAATTGTGTTTTACCTGCATTGACTTGAATCCTACTACCTACTTTGGTCACCATTTAAATTTCGAGAACCCCAATATTTTTTGCTTTTCTTTTCTCTTTTAATTCATGGACAGAGATTTATAGACATATAAATGTACCTGTGGATGAGATTCATTGCAGGGTGTTCTAATTGGGTGTTTTTAGTTCAAATTTGATCTGGGTTTTGTTGAACAGTCTGTAGCACTTGGGCTGTGCTTAAGGGGTAGATCCTTCGTTGTTTCTGGTCTTCTTCCTGTTCTTCTCCAGATCTGCCGTTTTGTTCAGCAATTGTTTTAAGAAACTGTCTTGGTATATTCTCTCATACGGTTATGCAATCTTTATGCTTGAATGGGTGTGAATGGCTCTGGCTTTTGAAGTTGTGATCCGGATTTTCCGGCTTTCCGGCTTGTTGATAGCAACTGAAGTCAAAATTTTCTTTTCTTTTTAATTTTTTTTTTTTTGTTTTGTTTGCTTTTCGGCTGAAGATAGAAACTGGAAAGTAAAATGTGGCTGAAAAAAGTTGGGATTCATGCGTTTATTTGTCAATTACTTCTGCCGTGTGCTTAGTTCCCGATCATGCATTTATTTGTCAATTTCTTCTGCCGTGTGCTCAGTTGCCGATCATTCACCGAGAATCTTAGCTGAAGAAATAGCTATACGAGGTATTTATCCTGAAATGAGAAATCCAAATTGAAGGTTTTAGTTTGGGTTCTTCTTGAAAAATGCAGCTTTTTTGTTTAGTTCCAGTAAGACGGGAAAAGTAGTAAACATGTTTTACTAAATTTGCATCACAACTTGATAGATTTTTGCATGTGTTTTGGGATACTGGTTACGATTTCATCCTAGATTCTACTTAGGAAATATAAAAAAGACTGTCTTGCTTCTTTAAGTAATAATTTTGAAGATGTTCGCTTTCAAAAGCCAACATCTGTCATCTCCAGTGATCTCCAAGTCATACCCTCCAGTTTACTTAGTCACTAGCTGAATTTGTGTCTGAGTTTGTGCCATGAGATCTGAACCACTGGTTGGCGGCCTAAGAGTGTTTTCTGATCTCATGATATGGTTCAAGTCTTGAATTGGATATCACACATTATTGGTAATTTCCTTGAAGTTTATTTTCACTGGGGATGGAATTATTTGTGATTGTTAGATTTTTGTCTTTAGGTTATCCTTTCTAATTAGAAGACAGTATTCATGAAGGTTCCCAATTAAGCACTAAAACAAAAAAAAAAGAATCACTGAATCCTATATTATATTTATTCATTACTCTGCTTTACTTCTCCATCAATTTCTTTCATTAAAATTGGTTTTCATATTGGCTTTAGATTTACTGTTATAGCAAGAGCCCATTATCATGCTCAAGCAAATTCTGCAAAAACTTCCAAGGAAGTCACCAAAAGCAGATTCATTTGATTCTTCTGGAAGCAACTCTGGCAATAGTAATACCAACTTCGGTGGAGGAATACAATTTACCAACACTTGCAATGTTATGTCTGCCCGATTGAATGTTGTGAAGCGAATGTCTTCGGCAATTTTCCCATCAAATAACACTACAGGAGTGGAAATGGTGGAGCCCCATATATCTTTCAAAGATGTTTCAAATTCAGAGAAGCAGAACCTGTTCATAAGCAAGTTAAACTTATGTTGTTCGGTATATGACTTCAGCAACTCTGATAAGAACTATGCTGAGAAAGATCTAAAACGCCAAATACTGATAGAACTTCTTGATTTTGTTGGTTCGGGGTCTGCTAAATATACTGAACTTGCCATCGCTTCAATGTGCAAAATGTGTGCAGCTAATCTGTTCAGGGATTTCCCACCCAAGTGTCGGTCATATTCTGCTCGTGGTGAAACTGAAGATGATGAACCCATGTTTGATCCTGCTTGGTCACATTTACAGCTGGTGTATGACCTACTCCTTCGATTTATAAGTTACAATTCTCTTGATGTAAAGGTAGCAAAGAAGTATATAGACCATTCTTTTATATTGAGATTGCTCGACTTGTTTGACTCGGAGGATCCAAGGGAAAGGGATTGTTTGAAAACCATTCTACATCGGGTTTATGGGAAGTTCATGGTGCATAGGCCTTTCATTCGAAAGTCTGTGAGCAACATTATTTACGTCTTTGTTTTTGAAACCGAGAGGCATAATGGAATTGCTGAATTATTGGAGGTTTTTGGTAGTGTAATTACTGGGTTTGCTATACCATTAAAAGAAGAGCACAAGATGTTCCTATGGAGGGCTCTGATTCCTCTACACAAACCTAAGTCAGTGGGTACTTATCATCAACAGTTAACGTACTGTGTGGTACAGTTTGTAGAAAAAGAGCCAAGGTTGGCCAGTACAGTGGTTAAGGGATTGTTAAAATACTGGCCAGTGAGAAGCAGTCAGAAGGAGTTGATGTTCTTGAGTGAGCTGGAAGAGCTTTTGGAAAAAATTGATATGCCGGAGTTCGAAAAAGTCATGGTCCCATTATTCCGCCGTATAGGATGCTGCCTTAATAGCTCCCATTTCCAGGTATTATTGTGGTGTTTTTGCTATCTGTCTATAAGAATGTTGAGTGCGATTGACTTCCTTGATGGATTCATATCCTTCCCTATTTTAACCACATCTCATTTTCTATTGAGCAGAGTAGACATTATAACTGAGCTGCAAACAATTCTGAGAAGATGGTTGATAATTTTGCATTCATTGCCTTAGCACATGCTTGTGTTAGCATATATTTGTTGAAATAGACGCTGATACTTCTTTAGACTTTCCTGACTTTAGTTTTCCTGTACATTTACTGGTTGTATGAGAATAGAGTTCAGAGTTTTTTTGCTGAATGAATATAAAAAAACAGAGAGAGAGAGAGAGAAGGTAAAACTATTATATAAGCTGGCACTATTATTTTATGTGGCACATCTGAGTGGAGGCTAATTAAGATGATTAGGTCTCTTAAACTAAAGTTCCTTTGGCCAAAATGAACTTAGTGATTTGCTTGGGTCTTATGTGAAGGCCAAGAAGAAATCCCTTGTTATCTATATATAGAAATTCCTTGATTTGGTCAAACAATTTGTAGGAACTTCCCTTCTTTTAGCAAAGTTTGGGGATCGAATTGAATTTTTACAGACCTGAACGAATGGGGTCTAGAAGACTACAATTGTACAAAACCACATGCCCACAAAGGGATCAACAAATAAGAAAACTGCACTTGCTGGAGAAGATGGAAAGGAGGAGGTTGAAGGAGAGAAGCCACTAAAGTTTTGTGGATGTTTCTTAATGCAAGATGGCAAAGACGGCTTAAGAAACATGGTTCATTTATAAACATTTATAAGACTCCAAAAAAATAGCATGTTTTAAGAAAAAGAAAGTCATTTGAACTGGGATTGGCTTCTGAGAGAAGATTTTCATTTGAAATTTTGCATGTTCTGCAATGCAATAATTATATTTAATTCTTCACTGGAGTTAACAAGCTTCATGTGTTTGCAGTAGAATTTGTGGAGCTTACTACAAGCACTTTTAATCTTCTTTCAAATTACTTGTTTGTTTAAAGCTTTGAACCTGCCACCCTCTCTAAGAACCAAGCACTAACCCTTTTTGTACATAATCTCTCTGTGAAGAAAAGGCATAGCCGCCCCCCTAGGCCCAGGCCCGGGGGGGGGGGGTGTGATTCCCACAACTAAAGTAAGCAAAGAGTTTTTCGGCAAACAGTGAACTACAAATTTTCCTGTCTTTCATTAAGAAGGCAGCAGGGCAGCCGTAGTAATCATTATTGTTGCCGCTGCTGTTTTTCTTTTCTTTCTTTCTTTTTTCTTTATATAGTTGATGTATGAGCATACTCATCTGCTTCGTTGTTAGCTTATAGAAAACAAGCTCGAAAGGGATTAAATTTTCTGGTTATCATAGAATATTAAGCAAAGGGAATAAAAACAATTGCACCAATATTCAGGTTCATGTTTAGTTACTCAAATCATATTGTTATTGTTAACACTGGTAGGACGTTATTACTGGTTGGTGGCGAGTAACTATCCAAATACCATAACTCTTGCTCTTAAGTTTTGGGACTTGAAGCTCTTTGAAGATCTCTGATTTTTTCTTGATCTATGGTTGTAGAAAGAATTTTCTAATGGTCATATCTTGATCAATGTGCACATATATGCGTAGTGCTCTTTGTTTTGATAGGCAATTTTAGTGTCCCAATGGAAACTTTATTTGCTTACTATCATTTTTTCTTCCTTTTTATTTGGAATAATTTTCAGGTAGCTGAACGAGCGCACTTCTTATGGAACAACGATCATATCCTCAACCTCATCATGCAAAACAGGCAAGTGATTTTGCCTCTTGTCTTCTCAGCCCTAGAACGCAACACCCAGAACCACTGGAACCCAGCAGTGCTTACCCTGACACAAAACGTGAGGAAAATATTCTACGAGATGGATGAAGAGCTTGTACTTGCCTGCCAGGGCAAGTTCCAGGAAGAAGATTCGAAGTTAACTGTGGCGGCTGAAAAGCGGCGGCTAACATGGGAGCGCCTTGAAACTGCTGCAGCTTTTCAACCCATTGCTCATAACAATCTCTCGGGTCTGGTAAACCCCCCACCATGTGCTGTCACGTGCTAATAGCTTCAGAGGCAAGCTTGTTTGAATATTAACATGCGTTTCGGGAATTGAGTATAGCTGAAAAGATTGCCACCTTTTGTTGTAATATATAAAATGGTTCTTGGAATATATGTTTTGGGATGCCTATGAAGGTTGTATTTGCTTTGTGAGGTTTAAATAGAAATTAGGGGTTGAGCAATGCTGGTGGTGCTGCCTTAGGCAATTATGTGTAACCGCACCTTTGTAATCCTTATGCAAGGGCTGCTTGCTTCTAACTTTTTTCTTCTTCATTCTCTTCCTGTTGAGAATCTTAGGAAGTTTTGGGCTATTTTAATTGGGAGTTCGTCAAAAAACCTTTACCAATTTACATGCTTTGATAGTTTGAAGGTGTGTTTTAGGGGAATGTATAGACGGCATGTCAATTCGCCTTCCAATTTTTATTAACACCAACCAAAATAAAGGTGCTTTGGTTTGGAAATCCATAATAAATGATGAGCTAGCATGGTTTGTCATCCTTTCATATCAAGTTACTCACATTTAGATCACCCACCCGCACCTTTGGTCTTTATGAAATTTAAAGAGTTTGGCTTAATTTTCGTAGTTAAATTGAAATGTTTTTCTTTGGATTGTATTTTGATTGCATTTTCCTTATCATTGATATACGCGTTTGGCCTATGTGGCCTCACTTTTGGGGTATAGGATGCTAAAATGGTAATTTTCCCAAATTTGACCAATTCTCCGTGCATCCGGACAACACGGGGATGATCCAAACCCTATAAAAACGTCTCTGTACACAAATGTCCTCCTAGGAACGGAGAATATTGCGAAGAAGACAGAGGGTGACTTTAGCCAATATAAAGATACAGCCAGGCGTCGGCAATTCGGAACCTTCTCTCTGGTTTCGTTCCAGTACCACCATATCTCTCTTCTCTTAGCACGATTGCTTTCTCATGCCCTTCTTTCAGTTAAGTTCCCACAATTAGAGAGATAGCGAGAGGGCATGTATGAACCAATTGGATCTCAAGAGAAGGGATATTACGCTCACGTCAGAAGACGCCATGAAGAGAAAGGTTTCTTTTACGCCTGGTCCGTTCTCCTATCCGATTGATTTTTTTTTTTCTTTAAGCTTCATACGTGTTCGCCGTTTTTCCGAATGGACGAATTCATATATGCATGCATATGGAGATGTGTATGTACACGTATCCGAAAGATCAGATAAGATCATTTCGGATCAAACTATCCGGATCCGGGAAAATCCAATCCGTGTGAGAGATCAGCAGTTCCGTATACTCATAAAAAGCACATGTTACTTATTTTCTTATGGTTCATTTGTGAAGGAAGAAAAGAAATCAGTCTGAAAGAAGCTACTGGTGTTTTAGTTTGAGTTTGTTGGGGTTTTGAGTTTTGATTGACTTCTAATGAAGTTTGGTTAGTAAGCTGTATTCACAACCGGCTGTTCGTAAAATTTGTTTTCGGATATTTCAACAATTTCTTTTAAAATTTTTTTATAAAATTTATTTGAGGTGTTTTAACATTTTTTTTTTCATTTTTCATTGTGGGTTTTGAATAAAAATGATAAATTTTTGGCTAAAATATGAACATAACATGTAATATTCTGGAATCCGATAATATTCATGAGCCAAACTATACCATAAAATTGATATATTTTTTTTGTATTACGGCATTATCAGAAAAACCTGAAGTTAAAAACAAAAGATTACGAACCAAATATGCCTGCAGTTTCCTACATGTTTGTGTAACGTCTCATTGTTTCCCTTGATGCAGCCTGTTCGCCATGTGCTGCTGCTTTTGCTGTTTCGAGACTTGCGAATGTTGCTTGAGTGTTCTCAGTTGTTGCTGCCCTTGAATTGTTTAATGCCCTTCTTATCTGAGAAATGTAACCATAGGGACTGGTAATAAATATTTTCTCTTTTTTTTTTCCTTCTATTTTTTTATCTGAAATAGTTTCTGCCCCTTTGTGGTTATTATGTGGATTTTTTTTCCTCTAGTTTTTCTCTAGGTAATGAACTATTCTTTTGCTAATTCACCAAATCATTCTCCGTTCTATTATGCTGATTGCCTCCATACCTGGGAAGACATACATGTTTCAGGGATATCTCTAAAGATTACCATATTATTCTCATTGATCGAATGGTTAGCACTTAGCAGCATCCAGACCGCTTAGATGACCCGCAAGAACTCATAGCATTCAAAGTATTGCAGATCAATTGCAAAATTGCAAACAAGTACAGCTCAAATGCATTGCTTTCAGAAAATATATGAGCAGGCAATGGAAGTCAGCACAGTAGTGATGAATGCTGAGACGAGGTTCACAGCATTGTTGTCTAGGATGCTGACCCCAGAAATCCTCTTCACTGTCGGTCCTGGTCTACTAACAACCTGCAAAGACAAAGTACCAGCCGAGTGTTTTAGGAACTCAGCTTATAGGGGATAATGCACGTGTTAGATAAATTTATGTAAGGCTGCCAATAGGGTCGAGGCATATTGATCCAAACCTGTGGATCCAAATCTGCAACTAAGGTCCAATAGTCAGGATCTGATCCCATTGTCATTATATTGTGGATGGGATTCAACCTAAAGTTGGATCCAGATACAAGCGTGCTCTTGCTAATAGTGGTAAAGAAAAAAAAAAATGTTAAATGGGCCCCATTTGGCTCAGATCCGGAAATCCAGGTATGTATTTCCAGATCTGAGCCTACATGGATCTGGATTGTGTCCAGCTGTCCAAATCATGTCACTAGGCATGGAATCTGAATCTTATGGACCCTATCCAGAGGCTCCGTTTACAGGCTCATTAATTACAGGATTAGATGAGCAGGTTGACTGTTCACTATGAATTCCACCATCCACTTCTACCTTCTAGATGAACTTAGAGTAATCACTCACACTAAAATCCTTTAAACTGGTTAAATAAAAATTTTAGGATCAATAGCTTCAATGGCTCTTAATGATCCGCATACAGCAGAGTTGTACTACTGACAAGTTAGATCAACTTACCTTGTTACGGACAGTGCAGTATCCACTGAACTGGAGGGTTGCTCCCAACAGAGAGTCAATCACACTTCCCCCAAGGCCCGCCACAGCAGAGACAGGTATGACGAGTAGCTGCTTAAGAGCCACATCAAAAGCACATCTTGTTATAAAAAATCCTAACAGAACAAATGTCAATCCAATGAGGCAGCCTGCTGCGGTAGCTGCTAGGAGTCCGGCCTTTGTAACACCACCATTTGTACCCCTCCGAACAGTCTGATAACCAGGATGATTAGAAAACAGGATTAACAATCCTTTCAAGCCCAATAATCAACTGAAACCTCGAGGCTTCAGAATATAAAGCATGAAAGAAAAATCAAAGAACCTTCTCAATGGCAGTATAGGCAGATATCTAGCAACCAAAAGGGGGAAAAGTTACGAAGAACAAGGGAACAATTCAAGGTACCAGTTATGGCTATTAAGAAGGAAAGTTGCATGACAGGAAACTTGTGTGGAAAGCGCATAGCATCCTTATCCATTCAGAAGGATGCAATCTCTACAAGAAAATAAAAAATTAGTAAATCCTATGGCTGAAACAGCATTTGATGGTGGCATGCATCAAAGCATGATACTTCTTTGGCTACGTTTTTAGACAAGTAAACAAACGAGAATCAGGATGAAAATGGACTGCTACTGGGAGGCCAGAATTACATGCGGCTACATTTGTGGCATCATTTGTCAAATTGAAGGGCATATAAGATGCTAAATGGCGTGCACTTGGCATTTCAACTGGGATCAATTTAAAGGATTCAGTCCGAGAATGTCAGAGAAGACGAGAGGAGAGAGATTTACCTTTAAGGTTGTGATTAGTCGAGGCTGTGCATCACTGAGCATTCCAAGCTCTGAGGACCAAGTGTCTCCATTCGTGCAGGCATAATGACCAATTATACCACCAATTAGAGATGTTACCAGAGGTGATTTTTGTGTGTCTAAACACTTGTCTTCTGATCCTGACAGCTGCCACACAATCATGACCAGAATGGTGGCAAGGCCGCTATTGAAGAGAACTTGTATCCTGTAAACAAAACATAATGAACAGCTTGCTAACGTCAGCAAGGTAGTTGAATATTTCATAAGTTCCGCCAGAGCAAATGGCGCATCAGTTACTAGTGTAGCGCATGAATGGAGTTAATTTTGATTAAGCATGATTATAATAGTCTAAAGATAAGAAAATAGCAGGGAAAATTTCTATAAAAGATCAAATGCTTCACGTTACCAAAAAATGCATGCAGAAATCAGTAGCAACGTGTTGCCCAAAATTTCCACAATCTTTATGGCTAATAAAAATTTTAGATTGCCACCAGAATCTTCTCAAATACATTACTTATAGAAGGATGTTTCTCATTGTAAAGTAATCCATGTATAACACAAAACGTATTACCTAACATACTAGAAAATCCAATATCTTTGCCGCATTTCCATAGACAAATATTTCAAGTTCCCTCTCATGGGAAACACACAAACAAAAGAGCATAAGAATTAGGTAAGAGTATGAGACAGCATAAATGCTTATAACTTGGTAATTTTGTTAAACTGAACTTTGCTTCTGCTAGGTAAAACTGGGGGGGAGAAAACCAAAAATCCTTGGGCCAACAAATTCTGCTCAGATACATTTTCAGTTGAGAAGATACAAACAAAGACAAACACTATATTTACACAAATGCTGCGGCGATAAAACACATTCATGGGGCAGAAACCGGGAGGGAGGGGGGCGGGGAGGGGAAGTTCCTGCCTTGCAGTGTCCAATTTCAGTCAACATTTTTTTTTGGGTTACAATTTCAGAGTCAATTTAACTTCTGATGAAATCAAAATTTTTGAAACTGCATTTAATGGCACCAGCACCTGGACTACAGTATGCAAGCAGTAGAATAGGCCCAAAACATATGGTTCTCTCTCTAAAAGTTCCGTTTAATGCAAAGGGAGAAAATCAAATTTTAAGAAAACCTCCAGAATTTGCAGGCAGCGTGGCAGGCAGGGTGGCCCTTCCTGCTATTCTGCGCACTTACAAATTAACTTTGTCTGTTGGCGTAAATTTCAAGTGCATCTTTCTTTTCTTTCCAATCCTACCTGTACATAGATACATTATAGCTGAACACGTTTAACACACAAAAAAAAGTGCTAATTCGCGATAGTTAATTGATTGAAGTATCCGAGTCACTTATCATACAGAGAGATTCAATATTTACGTTGACTGTCAATGGATTGAAGCATCCGAGTCACGAGTCACATATCATAAAGACAGAATCAGCAATTACGTTGACGGAAACCTGGAACTGGAAATCTCGTTTTCATGCTCTTACAAATACTTCATAGAGAAAGTGACAGCAGAAGAGAGGAAGTACCATACCAATCGCGTTGACCTCCCTCTTTGAAGTCAGCGTCTAGGCTCCGTTTTTTCTCCTCCCCCACCCTGGTGAACTTCGATGAAGTAAAGAAGAATACAAGCAACATTGCTCCATACCTAAACTCAACGTAAAACAAGCACTCGAAATCCATTAGCAGCAGAGATCCGGAATTTGTCGGATTGGTGATTGCACACATATATATCAACCTACAAAAAAAAAGCATATATACACGAAGATATTCGTAGCTTATGAATCGAGATTAACAAATAACCTATAATTCGCTGCGATGTGGATGCTCAAGACAAGGAACCCTAGAAATGCGCCTGAAAGGTTGAGAGAATTCCTTTTGTAAGCTCTGATGGCGATTGCAGAAGAAGCCAACACAGCAAACGCAGGCTGGACCACACTCATTTCCATTGTTAGCCCCCAAGTTCAACTGTGCTATTTGCTGAGGTCGAAGACGATGGCGAATTCTTTCGTAGAGCTGTTACATAATCGCTGGATAGGAAGAAGACGTTTTGACTTCGATCTTTTCTAATTTACAAAATAGACGCAAGTTTTCTAGTTCCTATTCAATTTTACTCTTCATTTAATTGTATTTAGCGCAGTGGCCCCCCACGTGCTATTTGTTTACTCTCTTATGGAAAACATTGATTAGTGTGGGACTTGGATTGTGTTTGGCAGGAAGGTAGAAAATGACAGAAGGTAGCACTTCTATTTTTTGCACCTCATCTTAATTGAAGAAGAGTAAGTTATTTTCTATATTTGATAAAGTAATCTCAGTAAAGAAAATGATTAAGACAGAGAACAAATTGAGGGGAAAATACATTTCCATTAATACTCATGTAAATAAGTAAACCAAAGAAAGTAGGTTTCCTCTTTTCCTCTTAAAAGATTTGGAGCTTAGTATTCATCGGATATCCATATTTCAGTCTATTAAAAAAGGGCTCTTGAGGGTAAATCTTGTCAAAATTACCATGTACTTTTATTTGTGCACATAAACAAAAATAAATTTATTAATATTAAGAAAAAGTAAGAGGTATTTTAATATTAGAGTTTTAGAATTTTTTGTGGAAAGATACAAAAATTAATTTTTATGATATTTAATTTGTATAATCAATTAAAACCCATTTTTTTGGTAAGATTTAAAACTAAACTTTACATAAAACTAGTTTTTAGATTTTTTTTTGTTTTCATAGAAAATATTTATTAGAAATATGTTGTGACCTGAATATTAAAAAAAAAAAAAAATCCAATCGGCGACCGACTGGTGAGAAATCATCATGCACTGACCAATTTCAGTCGGTTGCTTTGGATTTTTGTCATCTTTTGGAGCCTATTTATCCAACCGAACCGAACCCCCCAACAAATTCATACATTCATGCGGGAGAGAGGGAGAGTTTCTAGGTTGAAGCAGTCGGGGTTCGGTGGTTTGCGAGGGTTTTAGTTCGGTTTTGGAGCTTGGATCGGAAGGATTGTCTGGTCTTGCTGGTTTGTAGAGGTTCGCCTGGTTCGGGGCTTCACCGTTGAGCGTCGCCGAGTCGAGATGAGGTTCATTTTGAAGTTTTCTGTGTGTTTCCGGTGGTCGGGCACCGTGACAAGCACCCGGGTCGGAGACCCGGGTCGCCAGGTAGAGAAGACAGGACCCGGAAGTCCAGGTCCTGTCCTGGTTGGGCCAAGACAGGTCGGGTCAGGCTTGGCCTGGCTGGAAAGGGGGCCCGCGGTCTGGGCCGTGGGCCGGCCCAGACCCGGCAGGCCTGGATGGGTCGGGCCGAGTTGACTCAGCAAGTCAACTCGGCCCTGAGTTGTCAAGGGTGAGTCAACCCATCCAGGTTGACTCGGTAAAGATCTGGGATATGCTATCCTTGAGGAGTAGGGGAAATTTGATTAAGGGCTGATTGGGGATAAAATAAACCAGGATCAATTAATTAATTAATTAAAAGTTAGGATTTTGGCAAGTGAATCAGCTAGATTTGACCGGCCGGTTTGAGGCCTTTCAGGCCATTTTTTGGGCACTTGAGCCGGTTCCTGGTTCATTGTGTTAAGAACTATTAAACCAACTGGTTTTTGGAAAATTTGGATGGCCGGTTCAAGGTGAATAGGTCGGTTTAGTGGGATAGCCTTCGGACGGCCGTTCACCCATTTTGGACCGGTTCTTGGGGAGTTGAATCGGTTCCTAGCTCCACATGATGAAACCCAGCTACACATGTAATTTGGGAATTTTTGGATGTTCGATTCAAGATGAACCGGGCCCAGTTTGTGGGCCAGTGCTTAGGATTATGGTTTTTGGTCCAGTTTAGGGCTGGTTTAAGGCCTTTTCGACTGGTTCAAATTGGTTCCTAAGGTTTTTAGGCCTTCTGGATCCATTTTTGAGGGTTTTGTGGCCATTTGAGTTGAGTTGGATGTAGTTTTGAACCGGGTTAAGCTAGTTCGAGGGTTTTTGAGGCCGGTTCGCCGTAGTTTAAGAGTTGTGGAGGCTGGTTCCGTAAGACTAAGGGTAGTTAAGTAGAGTTGTTGGGTGTTAGTGAGTAGTGTGGATTCTGGTGGTGGATTTTCATGCCTCGAGATGCATGCCAAAGGTTCGGGATGAGATTTTGGACCAGTTTTGGCTACCGAACTTGTTTCTTGTGCCAGTTTTGGCGTTAGTGACAGTTTTGTGTGATTTGATTTGCAGATTCACAGGTAAGGGCACACTCAGACCATTGAGTCGGGTGAGGTGACTCGAACTCTCTTTTTGGCTTAGCGTTTGTACTGTGAGTGACGATACCTTCTCTATACATACATTTATACTATGTTGTTCTGGCATTTTGGACTTCGTGTTTCTTATTATTGCACTTTGGATAGTACTACTATGGGATATGTGTTGCATGTTGATAAGTGATGGTGAGCTAGATTTGTACATTGTTATCGATATTAATGGCATGATTACATGTGTATATGTATATGCTTGTATAACTTGACATGTGGGAAGTTATGTTGTGTGATGAGTCTGGATTGCTCTGGTTGTGAGATGGAGGATGCCTCCGACTAGGAGCGTGACATGTGTTTGAGTCGAGCCCGATCGTGAGACGGAGGATTCCTCCGATCGAGAGATGGCCGTCTGATATTTATGCGATATCTCCGATCGTGATATGGATTATGCCTCCGATCGTGAGAGTCACGAGGCTGGGTCTCGTGGCGGGATTTGTTGTACCCCCACATGTTATCGGATGTTGTTATTGCTCACTGTATAGGTACGTGTGTGTATGTTTTGGCTTGATTCTGTGATACATGTCCCATCATGCATAGTTTAGGTATCATCCTTACTCACTGAGTTTCGCGATTTACACTTTATTATTAACCTTTCAGATTGAGCTGACAGTTCGTGTATCAGATAGCAGTGTTCCAGATTCGCGTTTCTCGAGTCAATCGATGTACAGGCGAGTACTTTTGTTTATATGCATTTGTACTATAGTACTCCCTATATCCCTCAGATAAGATCCTGTTATATTTTGGACTGCATTATGTATTTACATGTAAATTATTTGATCTTTGAGTACGAGTTTGTTTTGTTAGGCTGACTAGGATCATGGATTCTAGTGCCAGTCACTGACCCTAGGTTGGGTCGTGACAAAATATGACTTTTTAAGGTATTAGCTGAACACTCCTAAATTAATTATTGAAGTTATAGACAACACGTTTGATGTTATATTTTGGTAATGTCATTCAATTATTCGACTTCGAAAGAAGAACATGAAAAACAAAAAGCTACTCTTTGATATCATAACAACACAAGTAACAGTCAATGTCAGTGCAGCATGTGGGCTATGATATCTCCACTTATCCTAGCAAGGTTACTTCTTCCCCTTCCTTTTTCCTCTCTCTCTCTCTCTCTCTAAAAATTCCCTTAATTTTTATAATAACTCAATATCCAACCCTAGTCGAGAAAAGAGAATGGTTTTCCGGTTTGAATGAACTCAATTCACGAGTTAAATATTGAAGAGATCTAATCAGCTGGGATATTGAATTTCTTATATTTTTTTTATTTATATTATTTTTTGGGTGGGAGGAGGAGTTTAATACTCTAAATGACTTGTATTGTGAGAAATAATTATTTTGCCTCTAAATATTTTTCTAAAATTTTCTTTATATTAAATGAATAAATTTTAAAATCTTATATAAAGAAAGAAAGCCACAAAACTTCTGCAGTAATGAGAAGAGGGCGGGGATCCGTGTGTCATTAAGCCCTAAAACAATCGTTGCCACCCCCGACCAGAGTGCGTGAGTTAGTTTGCAAGGGAATGTTCCAACTTAACCAAGATTTCGGATTCGAATCTTGAGAATGCAGTTGCATTAATAATTTGGTAGAAAGAATTTATCACCCTTCTGGGTCTTTACGACTCGAGCTAGACTAATTTCTGTCTAGACTGTAAAATGGATGGACAGGGATACTCGTGGTTTACACACACAAAAAAGACCAAAAAAAAAAAAAAATTGTTGCCAAGTCCCCCCAAGAGGCCAAAATGGCCGGCCCACCTCTTCAAATGAAGTTGCTCCCACCCAGACATGCCCAACAAATGTGTATGGTCTAGTCAAAGGCTCAGGGCAACTCTGCAAAACGACTATCAAAAGTTTGTCGCCGTGGCTACGTCTTCGTCCACACTAGGCGACAAAATCCAGGGAAAACTACCAAGACAAGTAAACATCACTACTCCCATGCATATATACTTAAATACTCTGCCACATCAAAAGTTAGTCCACATATCCATCTTGCAACACAACGCATCCATGCAAATCACACACATGTATCTCATCTCGCTATCTGTATATGATTTATTTATGTCCATACACATCCAAATGCATGTAGTGCAATGACATGTATATGCCACGTGTCATCACCCAATTATGCTTGCATGCCCTTCCACCAAAAATTTGTCACCGGATGGTTTATGTGTCCAAGCCAGGAACGTGTTTGTGAGGATGCCAATTGTCAGTATTTTCCATCTCCTGATCATTTTCTTTAAGTTGTGATAAAAATTGAAGAGATAATATTGCATCCATTTCTTTTAAAAATAAAAATTTTAAAATTTTAGAAGATATATATTAACTTAGTAAAAATTATAATACACCCTAATTTTTAAATTTTTGATTTTTGAAAGTTTGAACTTACAATGCCAAAAGTAATTTTAACAATAAAGACATAAAAATCTCTTTAGTTTTTGTAGTAACCGGATAACATCCTTAACCACCTTTATCTCATATATATGTATGCACATGGGTATATTTATACGTGTGTGTGTGTTTTTCCCACAGCTAGATTTCGAGTATGAATTCTATCGCAGAGTCCTACAAAACCCACCCTCTAAAACTCAAGCATATCATTCCTCTCGACTTCAAGGCCGCCCTCAAACTTCCGGACTCCCACACCTGGACCATACCCGTCGAGTACCCCGTTATTGACCCGGTAGCCGACGAGTCTGTGCCTGTCATAGACCTGCAAGACCCTGATTCCGGAGAACTCGTGCGGGAAGCTTGCGAGAAATGGGGGGTGTTCCAGGCCATCAACCACGGTGTCCCAGCTGGCCTCCTCCGCCAGATCGAGCGCCACGCGCGGCGGCTGTTCGCGTTGCCAGCTAGGCAGAAGCTCCGGGCCGTGCGGTCCCCGGATGAGTTCACCGGGTACGGGGCTGCTCGCATCGCCCAGTTCTTCCCCAAGCTCATGTGGTCGGAGGGTTTTGCGGTGACCGGATCGCCGGAGAGGCATGCCCGACGACTTTGGCCGCATGGCGGCCATACCACATTCTGGTACGTGTGTGTTCATCTTGTCTGAGACCAGCATATCTAATAGGCTAGTTTCTCTTTCTTTCCTTAAGATTGAAAATTTCCATCGGACGCAAAGTGAAAAGGTAGAGAACTCCCAGGCGTCTCGTCGTTTCTCCAAAAGTTCATATATTTTAGCGAGAATGTCTAGCCTTGGAAGATTTTAAGGTTTTCTTTAGATATTTTTCAAATAATTTTTTTTAATTAATTAAAAGGTTAATAGTAAAATAATTTATTTATGAAAATAAATATTTTCTTTATGAAATAATCTTCAAACGTAATAGGAAAATATTCAAGAACTGTAACAAGAATTATGGTGACCGTTTTTTTTATCTAATTTTGTATGGTGAGAAAATTTTAATTTATTTTTTAAATATACAGGGATTTCTTTTTGAACACGACACTCTATTTAATCCATAGGTGCAATTTTTTGATTCTGTCTATGTTTGGACATTTATTACAGTAAGAAAGTTCAAATTTTAACTGCATTACGTTGTTACTTCTTCATTGAAGAAAAGAGAAACAGAGGATGCCTAATACGAAAAGTTTAAAATTTAAAGGATTTTTCCTGCAGTGTTCAAAACTAATCCAAATTAATTGGATTGACTTAAATTAAATCAAATTAATTGAAAAATAATTAAAATTAAAAAGAATCAATTTAATTTGATTAATATATCTATCGAACTCATCAGTTCGATTTTCGTTTTCATCCAAAAAAATAAAAGTAAACCGAATCGATTAATTTTGATTTTATTTATTTAAAAAATATATATACCATTTTTTATATAAATCTATTAATTTGTACTTAATTTCAAATTCTCTCGGGTATAAATTTAATACAAAAATAAATTTCATGTTTAATTTTATTGTCTTTTATTTTTATTTTAAAGAAAATATATATTTTATTTTTATTTTGAAAAAGGTGTGTAAAATTGATTAGGTCACCTAAATCAAATTGATTTAAAGTATGTCTTGTTTAATTTAATTTTTTAACACAAAAAATTAACCATATCTAAATAAATTCAATTAATATGTTTGATACAATTTGAGTAATATCTAAAACTAAACTGAGCTACACTGCCATCCCCCGGCGGCCCCGGGACTTTTCTATAAAACTAAAAAATTTTAAGGACGTAAACCACGCAGATAACGCGAGTTGTTACCACCGATTGGTTTGGCGCGCTGGTAAGAACTGCTTTTGTCCTTTCGATCCATTACATGCTGCCACGTCATGGAAAGGTGGGACCGTGTGATATGGCCGGAATCTGGGGCATGTGGCGGTTAGTTCGAAACGGCGCCGTTATTATCTATGGAATCTGATATTGATGGGCCGCTTCGTGTTGACAAGTGGCGGTCACGGTGAGGTGTCTTGAGTAATCGTGTGATCTGTCCTATCGCGATTCTTGAAGGGATGCGAATGTATTACGGTGCGGCGGTTGTTTGTCGAGCTCCAGCTAACACACACACCACATCCACTGACATGTGCCAGGTGGAAAGTGCCAGGGGCGGATTCGGCAAATATTATCCATTAAATTGAAATTAACAATCACAAACTGCAAATTGAATGTGACAGACCTATTTTATCAAATTATTCAACGTGGTAGCATTTAAATTTATTTTATAATTTAATTTTATAACATATGTAGTTGTTATCTCATGTAACATTTGCGAGCTTGCGAACTGGCATGACGTGGTTCTCTCATGCAGTCACGTGATGGAGGACTACCAAAAGGAGATGAAGTTGCTCTCCGAGACGATGGTGGGCTCCATGCTAAAGTCATTGGGCGTAATGCCCGAGGATGTGAACTGGTTCAAGCCCAATAAGAGATCCAGTCATCATTCACAAGCCCTGCTCCAACTGAACTCCTACCCAGTATGCCCGGATCCCACCCGGGCCATGGGCTTGGGCCCTCACACTGACTCCTCCCTCGTCACTTTGCTATATCAAAGCAATACCAGCGGCCTCCAACTCCGCGGCGACGGCGGCTGGATCACTGTACCGCCACTCGCCGGCGCGATCATTGTCAATGTGGGCGACCTTATGCACGTGCTCTCTAACGGGCGGTTCAAGAGTGCACTTCACCGGCCGTCGTGGACAAGGTCGAACATCGCATTTCCGTGGCTTACTTCTACGGCCCACCAAGGGAGGTCCAAATCTCGCCGTCGATGAAGCTGACTGACCTCGATCATCCCCCTCTCTACTGGCCGGTGACGTGGAAGCAGTACCTGGATGCCAAGGCAGTTTACTTCAATAGGGCACTTGATTTGATTCGTGTGGACAAATTTAGTGCCCAAAAGATGAACACACTGGTGCTCGATAGTTCCATCTAGACAAGTAATGAGACCATGAAAAGATTGCTTCGCTAGCATTCTGTAAAAAGTATTTTTTTTTTTCTTTTAACTAGTTATAATTTGTGGGTTTAGAATCTTCAAATAATTGTTCACTAATTTCCGGAACATAGGATGAGAGAGAGCTGGCGGGTCAATCTCATATGGATAGCATGCTCATTACTATTAGGCTAAAACCAACTTCAAAAAAGAGTTGAAGAGCTTGTGTTAGTAGGAGCAGAGGTACTTGCAAAGAGAATTAATAACTTGTACTTACTCCATCTTTCAGGTAGAACGTTGCGACACTTGAAGGTCTGAATCTTCTCATGTTGTGGAATGGGAGTTTTCATTCTTTCCGTCTTCTGTCGAAGGAAAATTTATTGTGGATATTTTATATCTTACAGTTTATCTATCTACTGATTGTTAGAGACTTGCAAGTCTCTGCTCACTGCTTAGAATTCTCAACTTCGAATCATCTCTTTCCTCTTCTCTCCTTAGCAGTAGGCTAAATTTTCAAGAATAACAAAAAATAAATAAATAAGCAGAAAAAGACAGCTTAATTATTACCTGGAAATTTGCCCCCTTTAAAAAATTATCCAAAGCTGCAGTAAGAGAAGCTGCAATGTTTATCATTACTTTTCTTGGGCCACGTTTACCTGAATACAAAAAAAAGGGCCCCGGGAGGGGGGGAGGGGTGTGGGGCCCAAGTTCCAAGTGGTAGCAGATATATATCATAGGAAAAAATTCATTATAAAGAAATGAGCAATTTGCACATTTTAAGTTTCACCTATTTCTCAAGAGAAAAATAGTTCCAAAGCTCCCAAATCTATCTCCAATATCTAAGGCTAACAACCACGTACCTAGCTAAAACCAAAACTACCCTGCGAGGGTGGAAGCAAAGATTGAGCAAATTATATCATCCAAACAAGCAAAATGGTGAAATTTCTTTCCAAAACTAGCAACAACAGTGTAAAGATAATGACACAAACAACCATCAAGGCGTGGACAGAGGCTCTCATTCCTTGAAGTCATCCTTGTCATCGAGAGGAATAGGCTGGTTCCTCCAATAGACTGCAAGAGCACTCCCACCAAGCTGCAAGAAGAGAGAAAAAAAAATTATATATATATATATATATATATATATATAGGGGAGGAATTATGGGATGATGACAAAACTCAACATGTGAATTATATAGGGACTGGTAACATTTAACATTTATGTTTAATTTTTTTTTTGGTTACAATATGTTTTCAAAAATTTTGCTGAACTGTTTACAATATCAAAAAATTAGATCACAAAATTTTCAAAAACATAGTACCTCACTCCTATTCTTTTCATGCAGAACAAGTTTTTTGATTTTCTACAAGTTTAAAAACAAAAAAAGAGTGTTCTCAATTTTTTGCAAACATAAAGTTGAAAATATTCAAGTAATTAGTGCAAGGAAGAGAAACCTACCGCCATGCAAACAACGCTTACAGCAGAAGGGACTGCCACCAAAGGATTTGTGAAATGTTTCTGGGCAAGTAAGAATCCAAGTGCAGAACTCTGCAGAAGCAGATGGGTAAATGGAGCCACTGAGCAATCTAAATCAATCACTTAAGCAAAGTTTTGATGTAGAAGTTGGTGGATAATCTTTATTTTATCAAATAATTTATGCTCAATATGTCAAGGAAATCATGTTTCAGATGCATGTTTATGTTCATATAAGCAGGTTCCTATTTTTCTTGTTCACTTACTTGAGTTGTGCATGGATTATGCTCATCATAGCTCTTAAATAATTCTCTTTTCGAAAGTAAATCTAGCCTTGTTAAAGGTTTTCATTAATAACAAATAGATTTCCATGGCAAAGGAAAATTTCAATATAAAACTGTACTGTTTATGTTCTCCAATCCAAACTAATAGCTGGGAGATAAGAATCTAAAAGTAATTGGCAATGCTTGTTGAAACTTAACAATTGTTTCCGTGCTAATCAAAATCAATTAAAACACTCGGGGGAGAATAATCTGTCTCTGGCTCTGCTCAGAACTTTAATGAACAAATTCAGGCGCAAAAGGTAAAATATTTCTATTGGAGGGTAACATAATTACCTGCATTCCACATTCTATGGAAATTGTACGAGAAGTTGATTCCCCAAATGATATTCTTGAAATCCAGTAACCCAGAGCAAATGCTGCCGCATGTAGTAAAGCCACAGGAAATAGTAACTGTGCTCCTTGAGATTTCAAGACCTCTGCAACTTGTCCAATCTTTCAACAGAGAATCAATGAAGTTATTTCCTTGAAGAAGTTAACCAAGGCAACTGATATGATTGTTTAAGCAAAAATCTACTTTTCTTGCAAACTTACAGGGCTTGCACAAAGTAGGGTGGTAAGAATAACCCCTATTAACGGTGTAACAGTGACTATCTTCGAAGTGAACTTGGGGAAGAATTCATTTGCTAACACTGCAAATCAAGCAAATATGTCAATATTTATATACAAAACTGCCTTCTATAAAGCAATAGCTGAAGAAGAGTCCTACACAATCAACTCAAACAGAAAATTTAACTTAAACATGTTTAGGTTACCTCCAATAATTGTTGGCACCAAAACCACCTGGAAAGTGCTGATAGCTAGGCCCTAAGAGATAGCAAAGGTGGGGAGGGCAATTGTCAATAAGTAGGATTTTTATCAAGAAAAAAGAATCCCATTAACAACCATGGAAAATTATTATATCTCATACAAATCCCAAATAACATACCCTAACCCACCCCCCCCCCCCCCCCACCAAACAAAATAAAAAAAGAAAAGAAAAGAAAAGAAAAAGAAAAAGAAGAAAAGAAGAAGAAACCCACCCACTATAGTGTCATTCAGCACAGAACCTGTTGAAAAATTAAATCACCAACATGTCAACATACTTACTGCCGCATCAACTGGAACAAGCTGACCTGCAAGAAGCTTAGTGAGAAGTGGCGTCATAACAATAGCCCCAATCGTTGAACACCTACAGAAGTCCCACATAACACACAAATTCAGAAACTGCAGTAGTGTATTCTTAGCTTCATGAGTTGCTCAGAATATTAATTATATCCTTCACAATTTAGTTCAGCGTTGGAAAAATATGAGAAATTATAAACATTACCCTAGTGGTTTATTTTTTATTACAAAGAGGAAAGCATGCACCATATTTGGTCTCCCAAGTTAGCATCATATGGCTAGAAGCTGAAGTCCAGTGAACAAGACATAGATGATTCAATATTAAGAAGGCCATATATATATATATATATATATATATATAATAGAAAACCTATGCACAGGTTATTAAGTTTTAAGTCAGCTGCTGCATGTTAGTGTTCACAAAGATGTTATGCTTAGAATTTAACGATAGAGAAGTAGCAATGGTGACACTGAATGATATATAAATTCTTGGGTAGTGTAATAATGAGTTGACTCTTTTAATCAGATCACAGAAATTACCAGTCCCTATTTTGACATTAAAGGCAACTAATATAGTTTCTTCCCTTATAATAGTGTACTCCATTTCAAAAATTACAGCTTCAATTTCCTATGTAGTCATCAATGCCAGACAAAGGAAGCAGAGTTCTTAGGACTGAAAACTATGTACAAGCATTTCAGATTTATATTTTTATGGGAAAACATGAAGTGCAATAACTTTAGGCAGAACCTGTTCTATACTTCCAGTCAACAAATTATATTGAAACATTATTGTAAACTAAGCTTACGTTGTCATGAGAACTGAAAGTGCTACATTTCCCTTTGAAATGTACGTAGCAACATTAGAGGCCTGGCCTCCAGGGCAGCAAGAAACCAAAATAAGACCAGTAGCAAGAGGAGCTGAGAGTTTCAATGTCTGCGAACACATCAGTTAGTAATTCTATGGGAAAACTAGTATGCACTAATGCCAATAACAGGTGTCATTTTTATTTCCAGTATTTATGCAAACCGGTGCATGTATGTCACTAAATTCATAGCCCTACCGATCGATGATTCTTGCATTAAGAGGATTTACATTTTACATAAGTAAAAGATTAAATCACTGCTGTCAATTTGGCTCACATCTAACCTCTATTTACTTGGAAGCAGAAAAGCCTTTTCTAATTAGTGGGAAGGAGATAGTGTAGGTTTCAACCTCATTTGTGTCAAAAAACAAGGGGAAGGAATAAATAAGATCTTCCACAATTAATAGACTCAATGCAAAATGTGCTATAAAATGACAATTTCTTTATAGTTTGGTTACCTTGTACTCTAAAAATGTTGCAAATTGCATCCAAGGACCTGTTTCCACATTTTTCTGTTGAGCCATTCTCATATTTTTCTTGCACATTAATCTATGCCTCCATCTACCTATGTAATAAATTAGGTTTTTATGCACATATAGGGAGATTGGATGGTTCCCATACTTCTATGCTTCAGATGGACTCAATCATTTGCTGGTTTCTATCTACCATTTATCCCTTGTATTTTATACATGTTTTCTAGCTATCAGTACACACACACACACACATGCATATATATATTCTCCAGTGTCATAAAAAACAAGATGTAATATGTACATTAGACTGATACACATACAGATCCATTAAAAATAAGGCTACTAGTGCATAAGTTGTATACACTTTTGTTATTGGGAACCTCAATATTGGAATGCTAATTTGCCAATACAACAAGACTTGCACCAACGTATAACAAAACATCAAACACTCAATGAGCGGATGACGACTTACCATAGCAATAAAAAAACCTAACATGGGTTTTATTAAGTACTGAGCTAGAAATCCTACACCAACCTGCACCAATCAGAAAAAGGAGGAAAAGCAAAAAGGAGATTTTAAGTAGGTTAACGAAAAAGTCATCTTCATGTTTGTAGTTGCATTTTCAGCTTTACAAATGAATGAGATACTACTCACAGTCCATGGATTGCGTAGACACCGTCTGAAATCCTCAAAAGTCAATGTCAATCCCATTGAAAGCATAAGAAAGCCCAAGCCAAGAGTAAAAAGGTCAGTTTCTAACCAAGTTACCTGTAAGAATTATTGTCCCATAATTAACGTAGTTAAACCAACCAAGATTCTCCATTAGTAAAACAACTGGGGACGGATAAAGTTACCACAGCAGGTTTACAGATGCCAATAATGGTGCCCAATATGACCTGCAAGACAGGTAAAATTTAAAATGTGAAACTTCTCTTTCAGGAAGTTTATGCAAACTATAACTTGTCCTAAAGAGAAAAAAAATTGACGCAAAGCATACCCAAACAGGAAAAAGAGTTGTCAATGTTTCGATTATTCTTTCATATTGGTTCATTCCACTAGAACTGCTTTCTGGAACATCTCCAGCTGCATCTGTTGCTGCCTTGTATATAACTTGAGAATTTCTATTACATAAAGTAAAGCAATTTGTAATAATTATTTACCTAGCAATGGATGTTTGCGCAAGCAGATAAAAGGTAAGAAAGAAAACAAACCTACTTTTGGCATAACACAAGGGTGCCAGTAAGCATAATTCAAAAGGCAAAGAAAATAAAGAAGTTTGATTACAGAAATAGGCATTAAAGGCATGAGGCTCCCTTCAAAGGAAAAACCGACATCTGATTTGGGGTATGAACCTCTGAATCACATAACAGTTACAAAAAATAATAGTACACAGTACATTTCAATTGCCTAAATTTTGCAGGAACTACGAACTGGTAGAAGGCAGACTTGAAAAAAAAAAAAAAAAAAGGCATCCCGGAACAAAAAGGATCTTTATAATTTCCTGATTTTGTAATAGGATAGTAGAAAATAAAATATGTCCAGAAAAGACGAAAAGGTTGATAGGGCTCTGAGTCTGACTTTGAGAACAAGATGCTCTTCCTCTTGTTTCATTCAATTTAAGAGTTGTACATATAGTCACTCTGTTTATCCTGCTGTCATCAGAGAACAAGCTGAAGCTATTACAAATTTTAGACCCTGATCAACGAAGAAGCTCTTCACAAGTTTCTTTCTTTTCTTTTTACATGATGGTCATAGTGTGAATGAGGCATTCATGCTCCATTAATAATCAAATTTAACAGACTCGTAATTGTACTATTTTCTGGAGTCTACCTTCAGTCAAGCACATAGCGGTGGAAAAGATACCTTGAAGGCTGAAGCAACGAAGCAGGGGCATAGAGACCAATAACAGGACCCCTTGGTTTATTGTTGATTGCCAAACAACACTTTTCATTATCAGGTACACTAAGTGTCCCTCTCAGGTCTGTATATTGAGATTCCAAAAAGTGAAAACAAGAACGGGAATAACGTTAACACTGATAAGTGGCCTAATTACAATCAAACAGTGTTAGAATAGTGAAAACGCCTCAAATTGAACATAAGAAGGCAAGAAGCTAAAGACACCAGCATATCAAAAGTACCCAGAAACAGAAAACAAAAAGAAAATAAAAATTAACGGAGTGACGCAATCGGCCAACAAGAAAATCGAATGCTTACCCAAATGGTTTCTAAGTCCCCTCACGTTCAAGCCAGCACTTGGCCTGGAAAGAGCTTCACAAGGGCGCAAATTACAGTCCTTGGCTACAAATCTAGACATGGAAGCCATTAAAGATCGAGTCAAAGGCTCAGTTCAAACAATTTGAAGCATGGGCTTTTACCAGACAGAGGGGGACTGCGGGGTGGGGTTTGAAGAGCTGGGTGACCCCCGGGGAGAGAGTGGGCGGGGGTCGTGGAAATCAATGAACCAAACACAGGACAGCCACGAGTGGCTGATTCAAGAGTTTTTACTGACACTAGTGTCACGAGGACGTCGGATAGAAATAGAGACAGTACGAGTTCAGAACTTGTATGGACGAGCATTGCACTCTTGTGCTAAAAGATAATCATACTGGTAAATTATATTAAAATTAATTAAATTTAATTTTAATACCTTTTCAAACAATTGACCTAAGGTGGACAGGTCCCACTTGTAACGAGAGTATTATAAAATTGGTTACGAGAGAATATGATAAGAACAATTTCATATTGAGTAAGAAAATGGAGGGTTTGTATTTATAAGTATGAGTATTGTATATTTTAATAGATTAGTTTTTTAAGAAAAAATTAATGGATCATGACATTAGCATCTGTAAGATTCACCAAAAATAAAAGAATGTGACTAATTGTACAATGTTGTTACTCGGTAGCAAAAGGGCTCCCCCATCCCCTCAGTGTAGTGGTCAAGTGCAAAACATTACAATTTTGCAATTTAGTCCTCCAAGTCTCCAGGGTAACAGCAAGGATAGGAATGAGTTTATTTAATTCATGAATGGCTCATGATTTAATTTGATAATTAGTTTAACCGGTTAAGTTTTATGATTAAATAAGTAATATATAAATTAAATTTTTTAATTTATATAAAATATGAGTTAAATTTGAATTAAAAAAATTTGATTCATCTAATTTATAAGTTGGCTTGATATATATATATATATATACATTCCTTGAAATTTTAAGTACTTATAATTGATTTATAAGGAATATTTCAAATTTTAAAATTAATTATGTTTCTTAAAATTTAAAAAATTATTATTTTTGACTTTTGAAAAATATTAAATATAAAAATCAATTGTCCTTAATTCATTTTTTTTAATATTAAGAGAAAATTATATAGTAATAAAATTGAAATAATTCTTTATTGAGTAACCAATTTAGAAAAGGAAAACTATTACTTTAATAAAATTTTTATTTTTCTTACAAGCATAAAAATGTCATAAAAAATAAACAGAACAATAAAACACAGGTTAATTAGAAATTATAATTATGACATAATATTTTCTTATGTGTGAAAAGTAATTCAAAACTTTTTATTAAATAAAAATTTTTATTTTGATATTATTTTAAATTATAAATAAAAATAATTTGTTAATATTTCTTAAATAAAATATATAAATTATTAATTATTTAAAATACTTTTGATATATCGGAGCTAATAGAGTGACTCAAGTTGTATGTAAATTTAGTTCATACCAAATTTGAGTAAAAAAATATAAATTTACTTATAAAATAAGTTAAATTATAAATTAATTTAAATTTAATTAAACTATGTTTGAACTGAAATTAGCTTAACTCAACTTATACTATTTTTGTCCGTATCATTGGTGTGAATTACATAATTGGCCGGTCGCTGTAAATTGCAGGAGCCAGACAGGGTGAGGAGCGACGACCGCCCATTTCTGGCAAACATGCTGGACAGTGGGTATACTTCCTACTATTTTTGGGAAGCATAATCAATTTACATTGATAACCCCTGTATTTTGCTCTTATTAGAGGGACACCCCTACTTCTACACTATTTACAGTGACATCCCTGCTGTCACAACTATTTGGTTAGTACAATGACATTACCATTTTCAACCTACTGTACCATTTTCAGTACAAAAATGCGGACTGACCTTATTTGGTTGTAATTTGTACTCTTCTTGAAGAGAGGTGGTCAATTTCCGTGTAGTGAAAATAATTGTATATCTATATAATTCACGTCACATATTAAATTTTTATTAAGTAAAAATTATTAAAAAATTGTTATTTCTCCCTCTCTCCCTCTCTCTCTCTCTCTCTCTCTTCAATGTAAAACTTTCCAGATTACAACGTTCTTTATTAGTTGTGGAATGTCATATCTACTTTTATATATTAAAAATGCTGCATTATAATTTAAATATTTTCAAATGAAAATTTTAAAAATATAAATTAAAAGTTTGCCTAAAAAAAGAGATAAAATTGCTTTCAATTTATGGTGCTTATTCAAGTATTAAAAAGTCAATTTTACTTAAATATCAATTAAAATGTATTGATTAATTCACTTATTATGAAAAGTTAAAATGTATCGGTTAATTCACTACTACTAAAACTTGTTTGCATGTTTTGAAGATGCCATAATTTAGGGGTAATATTTTAGATATTGTTACATTCAACACTTAAAATCGAACTTCTTAAATTGAGTTACAAACTAAAAATTAGATAAAGCTATAGATTGTTGGAAAAGAAACTCGTTTTTTGTTTTAATAATGATAAAAAGCAAGTCAATATAATTGGGCCTGCTTGAAACACTTTCAAAAGGGATCGCATTCGATAAATATGATATGAAAAGTATAGTATATAAACTGACCTGTAACCTAGAAAAGCTTAAAGTGATGAGGCAATCAAACAGTATATGGACAGTAAATTGCATTTCTTTTCCAGTATGATTTGCATATATGATATTTAGAGATATTCAGTGGCAAAGTATTAAAAAAATCACATGTGATTTAAATGGAAGACCATTTTGTGAGGATTTTTAGTTTTCGAATGAAAATGTTCAAACATAGTTCAACCAGATGAACTGTTATAGCTTGCTAAATGAAACTTTTGATGTGTATTAATTAAGTTAGAATCAAATGATGGGGACACGTGTATATAAGTGAAACATTACAAATTAAGGGACAGATTAGTTGCAGTTTACACTGTGGGTACTCCTTTTTCACCAACATGGTAGGGAGATGGCCCAGGTACAGCTGTAGGTCATTGCAGGAGATGACTGGATAACAAGGAGAAGGGCGGCACTAGAGAGAGGGGAACAAGAAGTTCAGAGCCTTGAAAGCTTCTCTTGAGCAGATAGAGTTGGTGTTTGCAAGGAGTGAATGCATCAGGTTAGAGGGGATTGAGTGGTCACCAAGGTCCCAAAATCTATAGCATTTTCTTCCTCCTTGGTTGATATCCTGGCAGTCCAACATGACCAAGTCGGGCGTGGTGCTTTGTATCCTGTCACTTGCTACGAGGAATCATTTTTCTGTTGCTCCATCAGGAGATAAGGGCTTACCTCAAGGATGATATATGGCATCAATACGAATGAACTGAAACTTGCCATGTGTAGTAGATATCATGGCTAATTATAGACTTGTCTTGTGTTAGGATTCCACCTATGTGGATAACTTTATTGACATGCCTCCAGGAATTGTATTAGGAGAATTCTATGAATGTTAGTTGGAGAGTTCTTGTAGGCCAAGGAATCTGAGGTTTTGTAGGATTCACAAAGTCTTGCAAATAGGGACAAGGTGTTTGAGAGAAAAATTAGGGAATTGAGACAACTCCCTAGAGTTCTTCTAAGGTATGAGTGTGAATAAACTTTTTTTTTTTTTTGGGTTTTGGGAATTTCAATCCAATGAGTGATTTTCTTGTACTTGGATTTTATTCTCACAGGGAAGAATGTATTTACATTCGTGGATGCGGGCAAGGATATCTGAACCATGAAAAATCTCAAGCGTCATCTATTATTTTTCTTTATATTTTTTATTAAATTTTGTGTGTGTGTGTGTGGACCTTGGTATAAATCGCTTCTGCCGCCGCAATAAGTAGTGCCACATTTATTGGGATGAATGCGTGCAAAAATGGTGGAGTTCTATATACGGCAGAAGTGGTACAAGGTTTGACACTCCTCACATACTTGGCTAAGTGGTATGATGCAGGAGGCTTGAGCTTAGTTTAGGAGATGTTTTGTCTTGAATGCCTTAGATGACCACCCATTATTAAAGTCACCAAACGGATTCTGCCACAGACTTCGCAGTTGCTTAGTGGTATGGCAACAACAGTTTCATCTTGGTGGTGGGCAGTATGACTCTTTGTCAGAGGTGTTTAATAAATTGAATCAAACAATTTAGATGATAAAATTATATTGTGGTTTAGTTTGACTCAATTTAAAAAGAGATTTTTTTACACGATTTAATTTGATATTTAATATTTAGATAAATCGTATAAATATATATATACTAAATAAAAATTCTATATTTATATATATAATTTATTTTTATTATTTGATATCATATTCATTTTTTTATTATCTCTTATATTTATATTTATTTTAATAATTAATTATTTTTATTTTTTAAAGTGTGATTTCTATAATATAATTAAGTGAATTCTGTTATACTGAATAAGCATATTTGTTGTATAATATATTATTATAGTTAATTGGTAGATAGTGAATTTATTGAGTTAAATAGATTGAAAAGAATTAGATGTCTTATTTTTAGAAAAACTTTGTCGAAATTTTTATAAAAATAATGAATTGAATTCATTTTATTATGTAAATTACAAATCATAGTTTGAAATCGAATAAAACTGTGAATCGTTATTTAATTTTTAAAAACCACAAATTATGAAATATGATTTGATTTAAATTTAAGTATAAAATTGAATCAAACCAAAATTCGAACACCTTATTTTTTTTCCCATCCCTCCTCCTCCCACTTGTAGACCAAAAAGAAAAAGACTCCTAACTTAAGGACGGCGTAGCGTGGACATTGTGTGCATTCTTATTGCCCATCAAAAACCTTGTACCCAATTTGAAATGGAACAGTATCACCACCGAGGGTTTGGTGAGAGAACAAAGGAAAAGGGGATACGGGAAGGGGAAGCCAACATTGACGTGTAGGCAGGAATGTTACTTCGTGGCACTGTCACCTCATGCATTCCCTGTACTTCAAACATTAAGGAATCAACCTCTTGCGTAAAATAATTTAGGGGTTGATGCCAATCCAAGCACAGTTTTGGGAAGGGCGCCCAGCTAAACAGAAAGAAGAAAAGGGGAAAA